AAAGAAGGAGAGGCCATCATTTTCCTGGTGTTTGGCTGGAATCTCCTTTCTTGCCACATTTGAGTCCTGGGTTCAGGTCCTCTCCTCCCGAGCAGCAGAAAACAAGCTTCCTCCATCTTCATCATCAACATCCAATATCCTTTATTTGGCATAGCAAACCACACATTATCAAACAGCCACCGTATACAAATTGTGCAAAATACAAGCTCAGCATAACAAGGTTTGTCCCAGTCAGATCTTTAACTCCAGAGGAAATCAATTTGCATAAATAATACAACACTACCACATCACTGATCATTTAAGAACCACTAAATCTCTTTATAATGGCCCAGTCTTTCTACATGGACAGCACTCAAAAATTCGGCCATTATTAAAGTAATTTGATCATTCCTGTCCGAAAGCAGGTCCTGAATCGTTGGTGGCATAGAATTCAGCCTGTTGAGTTGTAAGGGCTCTAATAATTGTCTTCTGGCATAAATGCCAAAATCACAAGAAAAGAAAATATGCTCCAATGTATCAGGTTCCTGTTTACTACATTTGCAGAGACGCTTTGATTCTGGGAGAGCTAAATATCTTCCTCTCACTATCATCGAGGGAAACATATTGAATCTGGCTAACATAAACAGCCTGCACAATTCATGATCCTTCAGATTTGTCATGTATCTCCATCTTCATTGTGGTGACAGTTCAGATCTTTGAAGACATCCCTCATGTCACCAAACAGTCTTCTCTTCTCCAGGCTTCTCCGCCTGGCCTACCCCACAAGGCTGTTGTGGGGGGGAATTAAGTGAGGAAGGGGAGAACCACATTTGCCATTCCTTGGAGAAGGAGGTGAGATATGAAAGCAATAACAAATTAAATCCTACCCACTGTAGACACATCGAAACGAATGAACCGAAGTGAGCCAAGCCCATTAACTTCAGTGGGTCTACTCTGAGCAGGACGAGGATTGAGCACAACCCATAGAATTCAGCCGGACCACCAGATCAATGGAAAAACCACCTAATTTTTTAATGGGAAGCTCCCCCATTCGCTCTTCTCGAACCAACGTGTGAACTTTAATACAGCCATCCTTCGAAATTTGCACTTTTTGTTCACACCCTCGTGAAAATTCACCAGCATTTTAGTACAAATTTCTCCTTAACAGACACATCTTCACACACAATTTTGCCTAGGATACATTTTGCAAAGCAGTTTCCCCAAATACACAATGCATTCCTGGCTGTTGTTTTCAATAATATATGCCTTTATAGGCATGATTTACCCAGGTGGGTGCGTTTTCGCACACCTACATTGGCAGGAGAACCGCACTACAAAATTCAGAGCAGTGCAAATCTTGATGAACGGCTGCATTTCGGTTCAGGTATTGTGTCGAAAAGTGTGAACGGGGTAAGTCTGCCTTGAAGGTGCAAAGTGGACGGAACTTCTGCTGCAGGCAGAATTAGTATATATTCACTATGTGTTATATACTGAAAGAAAATTACCTTAAAATGCAACATAGATGGTATTTAACACCTGAAAGAATAGCAAAAATGAATAAAAATTGTAGCGATGTCTGCTGGCGATGCAACACGGGAAAAGGTACTATGATACATATATGGTGGAATTGTTTAAACATCAAACATTTTTGGGAAATAATATATAATGAAATGAAAAAAATGTTTAGATACTCATTTAGGAAAACACCAGAAGGTTTTGTATTGGGAATAGTACCAGGAAGCCTAAAGGAAGAAGATAAGACCTTATATTTATACCCAACAGTAGCAGCAAGGCTATTGATTGCGAAAAACTGGAAAAGCGGTATAATACCGACAAAAACAGAGTGGCTTGCCAAATTATTGGAGTATTACAATATATCCAAAACAATGGAAGAAATTGGAAGGATTTCAAAAGAAGAGATAGATAGGGACTGGAAGGTGTTTAAAAGATACTTGCAAAATCATATCGAAAAATCAGAACTCCTATTAGAATAAACAAGTTCTGTTTCAAATACTGAAATATCAAATAAGATGGATAACAATGTGTAATAGAAAAAGAAGTATGAAATTAGGCTAAAGGTGTGTGAAAGAAAGTAATAGAAGTGAAAAGAAATTGTAATTGAGTAGATTGGAAGTCTAACACAAAGGTGGGGTGAGGGGTGGTGGATGGTGATGGGGAAAGGAATTACTTGTGGGATGGAGTGTAAGTATGTTTGAACAGTTTAAGGATTGTAGGAAATGTATGTTTGTATGCTTGTATATGTGTATTAATGATGAACTATTTTAACAATAAAAACTTATTATTTTTTTAAAAAAAGGATTTTTTGTGTGTCGGGTTTTTTGCTCCAGCCCTGCGCTCGTCTCTGGCAAAATACCTCTGACATGTCTCTCCACCACCTCCTCTCGCTGCCATTGATAAGGGAAGGATCCGCATCATCCCAGAGAGAGCTAATCGCTTCCCTCAACCTTTGGCAAGCTCCTTGTCCCCCGGGGCCTCTGACTGATTGCTCGGTCCTTATCACCCAGGTAGCATGATTCCCTCCTGACACACACATCCAGCTCAGAGTCACAGTCCTTGGTTTTTGAACCTAATCAATTCCTTTAGGAATTTTGAACCTAATCAATTCCTTCCTCCTAGATTGCTGATCCATCTGAATTCTATTACTGCCTTGAGGATTAGGCTATCTCCGTGTGAAGCTTTTGATGGCGCTTATCTTTCGCCACGGCCTTGTGGGGAAGAGGCCTTGACACGTTCCTGCCTCAAATAGGGCTTCTCTGACAACTTCACCAGAAGACACACCGGACTCATCTCGTAAGCCCACGGCCCTGCTAGGCTTTTCCTTGCACTGGCTGTGTGAGCACATAATGCCAAAACCATGATTCGTTTTAACCAGGGGTTGTTTTAAAGGTAAAGGGAACCCTGACCATTAGGTCCAGTCGTGGCCGACTCTGGGGTTGCGGCGCTGATCTCGCTTTATTGGCCGAGGGAGCCGGCATACAGCTTCCAGGTCATGTGGCCAGCAGGACTAAGCCATTTCTGGCGAACCAGAGCAGCGCACGGAAATGCCATTTACCTTCCCGCCAGAGTGGTACCTATTTATCTACTTGCACGTTGACGTGCTTTCAAACTGCTTGGTGGGCAGGAGCAGGGACCAAGCAACGGGAGCTCACCCCGTCACCAGGATTCGAACCGCCGACCTTCTGATTGGCAAGTCCTAGGCTCTGTGGTTTAACCCACAGCGCCACCCGCGTCCCATATGGGTTGTTTTACAGATGAACAAACAAACCATAGTTCATAGGCCAATGGCCCCTCTAGTCCAGCCTCATATTCTCACACTGGCCAGATACCCCTAGGAATCAAGATAGACTGCCCCTGGACTTGGAGGTTCCACAAGGGCATAAGGAGAGACTGATTTCTGGATGAGGCCCATGGTCTGTCTAGTCTGGCATCCTGTTCTTTCAGAAGCCAACCAGATGCCTCAATAGGAATCCAGCAAGCAGGATTTGAGCATGAGATCTGAAATATACTCAGAGTCGAGAGTGGATTTCATGCTCTTTATTCAGCGCATAGTGGTGAGGAGGAATGGAAGTTCCCCCAGAATGTCTGCTTTATATACATTATTTACACAATGGGCCCCACGTGATTGGCTAATTCCGGGATTCTCCTGTAGGCCAATCAGGGAAGGTAAACGGCGTTTCCGTGCACTGCTCTGGTTCACCAGAAGCGGCTTAGTCCTGCTGGCCACATGACCCAGAAACTGTATGCCGGCTCCCTCGGCCAGTAAAGCGAGATGAGCACCGCAACCCCAGAGTCGGTCACGACTGGACCTAATGATCAGGGGTCCCTTTACCTTTACCTTTGGCAAAACTGTCACACTCACTTTCTGAAGGCTTTGGGGAACAGCTGGGGATCCTTTTACGTTTTTGATCAAGGTGCACTTGAATCCCCACCTTCTGAGGTAATAGAATCAGAATTGCAGAGTTGAAAGGGACCTCCACAGGTCATCTAGTCCAGCCCCCTGCAATGCAGGAATCTCAGCTGAAGCATCCAGGACAGATGGCCATCCAACCTCTGCTTAAAAACCTCCAAGGAAGGAGAGCCTGCCACCCTCTTGGGGGAGACTGTTCCACTGACTAATAGCTCTTATCATCAGAAAGTTCTTCCTGATGTTTTAGTCGGAATCTCCTTCCTTGTAACTTGAAGGCGTGGGTTCGGATTCATGTTGGAAGATTTCCTGCCCTGCTTATATCCCAACTTTTCTGTCCGAAGCAGCATCAAGATACAGTCCATTGGCGAACATTTCGGTTTTAGAAGGCCGTAAACCCAGAAGTAAATGCATCGGTTTTCGAATGTGCCTTGGAAGTCAAACATGCCCTGCAGCTTCGGCTGCGTGCAAGATCCTGTCGGCTATTGAGTTTTCAGTTTTCAAACGTTTCAGAACTCGAATGGTCTTCCGGAACAGATCACGTTCGAAAAACCGAGGTACCACTGCACTCAGTCTCATTCACTTCGCGTAACAAACTGACCTTTCTTTATTCCTCTTGCGTGAGAACTTCTTGCGGGCATAAGGGCAAATGTGTGGTCATGACAAAGAGCACATTATAACTCTAGCGAAAGGTCCCAAACCTCTTGGTGTGTGTGTGCAGGACGACACTTGGCACGCTGGGCACGCATATGGGTTCAGACGCACGCCTCGCAACAGCAGCTGCAGAAAGGACAGGTGTGGCAGGGACCCAGAAAGTTGGCACCGGTCACCTGCCTTGGAGATACGCCTCACAGCTCCCCAGCGCAAGGGGGAAAGAAACAGAGGGGCGCTTTTTGCACAGCTGGCCAGTTTCTCCTTGGCCAAGGGACTGGCAGGGGGTGCAGCTTGGCAAGCCTCCCCTGGCAGAGTCAACTGCTGGTGGGCAGAGAGCCCTCCCGCCCAAGGAAGGGAGGTGGGGTTTCACTGCAAAAGGGGGCTGGGTCTATGGGGCAGGGGAGCTGGGGAAAGCAGAAGGGAAAAGAGGGAGGTTTCTGGGAGGAGGGGCTTCCCTCCCTCCCTCTCTCTCTCTTTCTCCCCTCTCAACTGAAGATCCAGTTTCAACAAGTGCTTCTGTCCAGAGAAGGAGCGGAGGAACCGAGCCGTCTATTTAAAGACAGGAAGGGCCCACCCTTCTGAATGTATATCTCCTACATGTGCTCCCTATAGGCTACCCCCACCCCTTTTGTTGTTGTCGTCGTCTCCCCCTCCCCACCCCCTTGGCTCCTGTCCCCTCCGTCTCCTGCACCAGGAAATATGGGGAAAGGGGTAAGTACCGCTGCTTCTGGGGCCCCCAAAGGCCATATCTGGGGTGGGAGAGAGAGAAGTGGTCCTTCAGGGGTGCAAACAAGTACTGCAAAGGGAAAGTAATGGGGGGGCACCTGCAGGGGATCCTGAGAAGGGCAGGGTGTGGGTGCGCGCCTTGTGGGGTTTTGTGGCGCGCAAGGAGGAAGGGTCCACAGGCAGAGAAAAGGCAAGAGTTGGAGGAAGGAGATCGGAGCCTGTTTGCGCAGCCTTCTCTGGGAGACCAGAAGGTGCGTTTGTTCCCAAAGAACCGTTTCCATATCTCCCACCCCCCTTTGAAGGCAGATTAGCCCCACAGGCCCTGGCTGGGCTGGGCAGATTGCGGTCCTCTCTGGGCGTGGTCCGCTTTGGCAGAGAGGGGAGTGCAGGATCGGGTCCACGGATTGCATTTAATAATTTTAGGTCTTGCGCTCACATAGACTGGCTTGGGGCGTCTTGTTGCTTTGAGCGCAGGAGTAAATGTCATGGTCCTGAAATTCACCGGAGTCCCGCGGGCTGCTTTCTGCTGCCCTCTGTCTGTCGTACTTTGAGGAGGGAGTGTTTGGGCTCCTGCTTTGAGTTCGGAAAAGTTTTCTTTTGCCCCTGGCCAGGAGGTCTGTGCTGTTGTTCTTGCACCTACAAAGTGTGGCCTTCGCTTTGAGCCTCTAGGGAGAACCTCGCGGCCGGTGGCGGCGGCACCTGGCAAAATCTGCCACCCCAGCTGTCAGAAAAAGTATTTGGCTGTCAGATTTTACAGGGTGGCAGAGAGAGGTGCAGGAGAACAAAGCGTGTTGTTAAATCCATGTCACAGGTTGTGTTGGTTTCTCACATTCGGTAGAAAGGCATATTTAACAGACAAGTATAATATTCTGTAAGACAAAAGCGTCTGTTGGGGTTTCTTTCTTTTAGACTGTTGGGAAAAGTGACTGCCAGCTTCCAGCTCCCACAGAACTGTTTGCTGAGTTTCTCTCCTCCCTGTTGCAACGTTTGGTGCAATTTGGTGGTTGGGGAAAATGCTCCCTTCTCTGCACCCACAAAACAGATAAAAGAAAAGGCGCTCATCTGCCTTCTCTATAGATCGCTTTTTCCACAGTCATGGTTCTCAACCGCAAAGGAAAGAGAAAGGGGTATTAGCATTTGTTGTCCCAGATGTTTGGGACACCCCTGAGGATTCACCTGTGATCTGGCGCAGCTGGAACTCCTGGGGTTCGTTTTCAGATGTATAATTCGGTGCAGAACTCCTGGGGTTCCTATCAGTGCAAGTGACTATGATCCTGTGTTCTTTGTCGGAAAGGTAGATGGTGAAACATCGCTGCGCAGTCGCTCTCCGTCAGCTTCCAGGAGCGCTTATTTTCATTCACTTGTAATCCTCTCCTAATTAAACGAGATCTTGTCCCCGTGGGAAAAGCTGAATCCGTGTCCGGATTAGTCGGTCTGGATCCCATTAAGCGTCTTCATTTAGAATCGAGCCATGCAGGGTAGACCCCACAACCTTTCAAAACCACAACCGGAGAAAGACAATAGTTTTTGTTTGGATTCTGAATTGTAGGTTTTCCGGCGCAACCTTAGGGTCTAGAAACTTGAAATAACACACCATCTCCTGGCACTTCATGAGACGCCATCAGGGCAGAGATGGGTGGCAGGAAGCCCCCCCCCCTGGCTCCTGTCAATCACTAGGCACCAGCCCTCCCAGAATGGGGGCTGGAGCTCAGGGATTTGGGGGCCACTGCAAGGTTGCTGTTTTTTATGCAGTGGAGGCAGGAAAGATGCAGAGGGGATTGGAAGAGACAGAGGCTCTGGCTTTCTTCATTATTTTGAATAGTTCTTTTATGATACTTGCTTTTTCCTATGTGAAGTCTCATGAAGAAAAAAAAAATCAAAACAACCAAAGCAATATGAATGTGCCAGACTTTATTGATGGTCAAATTTGGGTAATTAGAGCAGGGGGTGTTGATTGAGAGAGATTATAGCTTTATTGATCATACACACCATACTTTTCTGATATTTCTCCAGTGCTATTGGCCCTTTTTTTCCCCTTGCCTCCGCATAGCTACACCCTGGGCTGGCCACCTGAATAGCGAATAGTGAATAGTTTGCTTTTTATTCAGTTTATTGTCTTTTCTTTGTGTTAATTGTACTTCTTGACATGTATCTTTAATGAACCTCAGTAAAATAATTTTTTTTTGGGGGGGGGAGGAAGAGACAGAGGCTGATTTCTGCCCCCTGCATTCAGTGGAATGATACATTAACTTTGATTCCTGTGAAGGGTTGGGCTGGATGACCCTTAGGATCCCTTTTTGCACGTCTAGGATTCTGTGATTGCCCCCTGTCCCATTTTGCCACAAAGCAGGGTGCAGCCAGGGCCAGGCTGTGTGAGCAAACTGGACCCCTGTTGCCAGAGATTTCTCAGGGCTTGTTCCCCGATAACCCGCCTATTGAGGGTTTGCCCCTGCATTTCTTTGCACAAAGTTTGCTCCAACATCTCTGAGGCTTTGCCACAAGCAGGAGGTATATGATTCCTGTGAAATAAAACAAAAGTCTGGATTGGGGTCAGAAAACAGTCAGCTGTTAATCAAGCAGCGGTTCTGATTTGCAGACCCTCTGAGTGTCCCTATTTTCCAGGGATGTTTCCAGATTGACAGAAGCTGTCTTGGTTTCTGATTTGATCCCAGAATGTCCCACTTTTCCTTAGGACATCCCTGTTTCAGTTGCAGAAATGTTGGAGTTGTGGAAACCCCGAGCCAAGGAGATAAATAACAACACAACTTTTAGAAGACATCTGAAGGCAACCCTGTATAAGGAAGTTTTTAAACGTTGGAGTTTTTATGTATATTGGAAGTCACCCAGAGTGGCTGGGGCAACCCAATCAAATGGATGGGGTAATAGTAATAATAATAATAATAATAATAATAATAATAATAATAATGGAATAGGATGCCCCTATTTTCATTGGTGAAATGTTGGAGTGTATCCAATCCACTTTTAAAGCCATCCAAGTTGATGGTCATTGTCGCCTCCTGTGGCAGGGAGTTCCATAGTTTAACGATATGCTTCATGAAGAAGTTCTGCGACCCTGGAGGGCCAATGCCCATCCGTGTGGTCAGTACTGAGCTAGAGAGACCAAGTGTCCAACTTGGATTAATCTGCTTCCTCCTTTCCCGTGTTTGTGTTCCAAAACCAAGCCTCTTTCGGTCCCTGGCCTGAGAGGTTCTGTCAGTGGAGCCTTTCCAAAATCAAACGGTCTCGTCACACAGGCAGTGGGAGAGGGGTTTGCCCGACATCATTGGACTGGGCCCAACCCCTCACTGGGACCTTTTGGGATCGCAAGAACCGGGCCCAGGAGATGCAGATGTTTATTCAGGAGCAGAAAATAAAAAGAGGACCTCATCGCAACGCTGACGGAAAAGTTCCCCTGTTGCCAAGAACAACTCTGGTTTGCCAGGGATCATGTTACAGAGAGACCTGGGAACAGGGTCCCGTGGGGGGCGGGGGGAGACAGGGGAACCCCAATCCTCCCCGTGGGGTCCCCAGCTCCGGCATCTTTTGCACGGCTGGCCCCCTGGTTACCACGCAGACCTCTGTTCAAGGGAGGCAGGAATCAACTTCCTAATCACTTGACCCCTGATGCATTTTCCCTCGTTTAAAAATAGTTGAAAATGTGTATATATAGGACCTGGGGCTTTGGAATGACAAGGCCTGGCCTCGCAGCAGGAGGAATGGCCAGGGGCCTGGGCTGACCATCGGCTTCTCCATGCAAAACGGGGGCATTGTGAGCAGGTCCTCACACCATGCGCTCAAAGCACATCCATTGAAAGGTGCTGGGAAATGCGGCTTTGCTGGGCACAGAGCTGTCATTCCTGGCAACCTTAGCAAACGAAAGCAAAAGCTGGGGTGCAAATGTGGAGGACAGAACTTGCAAAGATGAGAAACCAGCAGCAGCACATTTGTCCACCCTGTAGTTCCGCAAACTGTTATGAAACTGCCGTGGCCTTTGGCTATTTCAATAAACTTATTGATGATGATGATGATGATATTTGTCCATTCCTATAGTTTTTACTGATCATAGGGCAGGTGCTGGAAGCACAGGCCTCCTGGGGCGTGGAAATGAGCAACGCCTGGCCTTTTCTCTGGGAAAAACAACCGCTTTGCTTCATCCACTGAAACCCCCCAAAAGCTAGCTAGATACCAGCTTTGCATTGCAGGGGGTTGGACCCAGCCCAGTTTTCCCTTAAAGCCATCTCTCATTCTGCACTGTGTCCCCAGCGATTGATATTCAGAAGCGTGAATTCCCCCAGTCCTCTTTTAAAGCCATCCAGCTTGGTGGCCATAGCTGCCTCATGTGGCAGGGAGTTCCACAGTTCAACTCTGTCCCGCGTGAAGAAGCCCTTGCTTTTCTCTGCCCTGGATTTTCACGGGGTGCCCATGAGTTCTAGCGCTAGGAGAGAGGGGCGCAAACATCCCTCTATCCGCTTTCTCCATCCTTCTATAAACTTCTACCATCTCACCTCTCCCTCACTGTTTCCCCTGAAGCAGAAATCCCCAAACGCCACTTCCCTTCCTCGCTCCATCATTCCCTGCATTGTTTTGTGGCATTGGATCCGCCGCGCAGTTGTCCCTCCTCACCTCAGCCGAGGGAAGGGCTTCGCTCAGGGAGTTTCCGCCTGGCCCAATTCTTTCTCTCCCTCCTTTTGGGCCAGGATGGGGAAAACACGCTTTCTCCCTGTCTCCGGGGGCCCAGAGGAGAGGCGTGCCAAGCCCAGAGCCCGGCGGAGGAGAGAGAAGATGTCTCCCTGGGCACTGAATGCCCAAGCAGGCGGAACAGAGGGGTCTTTCTGCCTCCTTGAAAAGCCCCGGAGGCCTGAATAGGCAGGACTTGGAACAGGAGTGGTTTCGCTCTCTCCTAGCCTTTTCTCTTGCTCTCCGGGGTCCCTGGCTGAGCCAAGACATGCCCCGAGTGCTAATGACGTTGCTCTCCTCTTTCAGTGTTGTGGAATGGTGTGGCTGGCATCCCGTCCCCTTTCCCGGTCAGGCCCCAGCAGTGAGTGATGGTGGCGCAGGGCAGGAAGAGAGGTCCGAGAGTCAGGGTGGCATAACGGTTAGAGCACCAAACTGCAAGGACCTGGGTTCAAATTACCACTTGGTCATGAAGCTCCCTGGGTGGCCTTTGGCCAGTCACGGCCTCTCAGCCTAGCATCCCTCACAGGGCTGTTGTTGTGAGGATTAAATGAGGACTTGGACCGGGGTGAGACCAGAATTCGAATCCCCACTCAGCCACGCGTCTCACGGGATATGACAATATTTTGCAGGGTGCTCCTCCAGCCCAAAGGCAGGGAAAAAATGCATGTATTTGGATAAAGAGTGCTCCAAAATGCACTTATTATTGAAAATAACATATGAAAAGCTATTCTGGAAAATTGCTTTGCAAAAATGCGTATGTTAGGCAAAATTGCAAACGGGCATGTGCAATCTAGGAGAAATTTGCCTTAAGTGTTGATGGATTTTCATGAGGACTCTTAAAAAGGGTGGGGGAGAATTGCATTTTGATGCAGAAACGTAAACAGCTGAAGACAGAAAAGTGAGAAACTGAGAAACTCAAACCTGCAGATTTGTCTGTTCCTATTTTTACTGATGCTGGAAGCACAGATCCTTTGGGCTTGGCGAAATGAGCGATGCCTGGTCTCCTTTCTGGGAGAAATCGAAAGCTTTGCTTCCACCTCCCACGAACTTATTCTATACAAGTGGACAACCAGCTGTGTTGGCCACCTTCCTGGTACGTCCAAATCTCAAGAGTTTTGCTGAGGTGGGGAGAGAAACATTTGGCCTCCTGTACATCCTGCGTCCCCTCAGTCCGGAAATGCCGTGACAATAATAGCTTCCCCTGGCAGTCTGTCCAGGACTGGCTAAATAGGATCAGTAGCTCAGTGATGGTGGTGATGGAGGAGGAGGAAGACATCAAAGGCTTTTGCGTCAGGCCATTCAAGGCAGGGTCCTGCCTGGGACGTTTGGCAAAGGCTGCTTTGCCGTGAGGCCACTGCTCAATGCACACTCAGGGCTCTAGAAGGAAGGTCCTTGTCTGCTCTTTTGCTGAAAAGGAGACTCATGAAGGGACCCCCACGGTCGTCTCTTCTAACTCCCTGAAATGCCGGGATCACAAATGAGTCTTCATTCAGGGCCTGTATATCTCAGCAGCCGCTGTAAATGTCCCAGATTTGTTCGCGATGCTTTTATTTATTTCATAAAATCTATCCACCACTTGCTTGTTTAAAAATGTCCCCCAGAGGCTTACGAAAAAAGAAAAGAAAACAATTACGTTATCAACAAGGTGATAATTCAAGACTTCAAAACATTAAAACAATGTTTGTCTCGCCAGAGTGGTGCATGCTCTGGTTATCTCCCGCTTGGACTACTGCCATGCGCTCTACGTGGGGCTACCTTTGAAGGTGACTCGGAAACTGCAATTAATCCAGAATGCGGCAGCTAGACTGGTGACTGGGAGCGGCCACCGAGACCATATAATACCAGTCTTGAAAGACCTACATTGGCTCCCAGTACGTTTCCGAGCACAAATCAAAGTGTTGGTGCTGACCTTTAAAGCCCTAAATGGCCTCGGTCCAGGAGACCTGAAGGAGCGTCTCCACCCCCATCTGACACTGAGGTGCAGCTCTGAGGGCCTTCTGGTGGTTCCCTCATTGCGAGAAGTAAGGTTACAAGGAACCAGGCAGAGGGTCTTCTTGGTGGTGGCACCTGCCCTCAGTGTAATGCCCTCCCACCAGATGTCAAGGGGATAAACAACTACATGACATTTAGAAGACATCTGAAGGCTTCAGGGAAGTTTTTAATGAATGATGTTTTAATGTATTTTTAATCTTTTGTTGGAAGCCGCCCAGAGTGGCTGGGGAAACCCAGCCAGATGGGCGGGGTACAAATAATAAATTATTATTATTATTAAAATAGACTAAAAACAGATTGAAACTTGCATCAGCTCTCAAACAAGGCTTGTCTAAACAAGAGTGTTTTGAGCCAAAAAGAGTATGACGAAGGCGCCTGCTTGATGTCAACAGGCAGGGAGTTCCAAAGTTTAGCTGCTGCCACACTAAGCAATTGAATTCTTACAAATTCAGAACGGGGATGCTGTGGCCCCGGGAGCAGTGCCAGTTCCGCCCATTGAAGCAGTCATGGATGGGGTAATAATGGCACAAGCTTATGCATGTCTACTCAGAAGTAAGCCCTACTATGTCCAGTCATGGCGTTTCCTACCAGGTAAAGCCTGTACAGTGGTACCTCGGGTTACATATGCTTCAGGTTACATAAGCTTCAGGTTACAGACTCCGCTAACCCAGAAATAGTACCTTGGGTTAAGAACTTTGCTTCAGGATGAGGACAGAAATCATGCGGCAGCAGCAGGAGGCCCCATTAGCTAAAGTGGTGCTTCAGGTTAAGAACAGTTTCAGGTTAAGAACAGACCTCTGGAACAAATTAAGCACTTAACCCGAGGTACCACTATATATAGGGCTAAAGCGTAAGGGGGCTGGTCTCTGAAACAGCCACAGATCACACACTCCCCAGTCAGGCGATCTCGCAGGCAAACCGGTCCTTGTGTACTAACGGAAGCACCTTAACTTGGGGTATATGGCATGTTAGGGGAGGGGTAGCACTTCTGGTGGGGGACACATCATGCTCCTTCTGGGGTAGTTTGTCCACCTCCCCCCCCCCCCGCACGCAGCTCTCAGTTGAAGCTCTGAGAAACTGCCAGCATGGAAGAGCAGCCCCACCCCGGGGACAACTGGCCAGCTAAACCAGGTGAGGGCAGCCAATGGGTCTCTAACACTCTGTGATTTAGGGACTTCCCCTGCAGGAGAAGACAGGCTCTAGCCCAGGGGTCAGCAAACTTTTCCAGCAGGGGGATGGCCCACTGTCCCTCAGAGCTTGTGGGGAGCCAGACTATCTTTTGGAGAGAGAAAAATGAACAAATTCCTATGCCCAGATATGCATTTTAAATGAAAGCACACATCCCACTCGTGTAAAAACACACTGATTCTCGGACTGTCCACGGGCCAGATTTAGAAGGCAATTGGGCCGGATCCGACCCCCGGGCCTTAGGTTGCCTACCCATGCTCTAGCCCAGGGGTCAGCAAACTTTTTCAACAGGGGGTCGATCCACTGTCCCTCAGACCTTGTGGGGTGCCGGAATATATTTGGGGGTGGGGAATGAACAAATTCCTATTCCCCACAAATAACCCAGAGATGCATTTTAAACTGCACCAGCTCGCCGCAACTCTGGGAAACGGGGGGGGGGGGGCGCAGAGGGATTTTTGCACCACGGCACCAGATATACTTGAGACGGCCCTGTTCCGACCAAACTTTATGCGCAAAAGTATGCACATATTAGGTGGAAATTGTAGATTAAAACACACAATGTACATTGAAATCCAGTGGTACTTCTGGTTACAAACTTAATTCGTTCTGGAGGTCTGTTCTTGACCCGAAACTGTTCTTAACTATTTCTGTTCTCATTCTGGGGCAAAGTTCTCAACTCGAGGTTAACTCTTCCGGGTTAGCGGAGTTTGTAACCTGAAGTGTTTGTAACCTGAGGCATTTGTAACTTGACGTCCCACTGTAATGTCCAGAATGTGCTAAAGTAGGGGGAGCTGCTTGCAAATTAAAAAAAATGTATATGTAGTAAAATTTGTGGCTATAAGAAGAATTCATCCAAAAAAGCTGGTAGTTTTTAATGAGGATTTCTTTTAAAAATTCACAAACTGAGTTGAACGGAAGATTGGAGAAATATATTTGTCCCATCTTTGGTGGGAATGCCCTCGGGGTCCCTGATTTTGGTCACAAAGTACATTGAGGGTCACGAAACCGACAGATTCGCCCGTCCTTGGCTGAGAGCGCTCTGGGTCTGCCCGGCGGTGCCTTTTCCCTCTTGCCCACTGGGGCTGTTACTGCCATCTTCCTGCCCCTGTGGAGATGGCAATCTGGAACCAGTGGCTCACGTTCTCCTGTCCTGCCCCCTTTATAAAGATCTGAGGAACGAGATCATCACCCCACTCCTACTTACCATCCCAGGCCGCCCATCTGGGGCCACATTGTTCATTCTTTTATCAGATCAAAATGATCAGACAACAGCAAAGGTTGCTAAGTTGATTGAGGGCGCAATGAGATTAAGGGCCACTATCTGAACGATAATCTTGGTCATTTGATTGTCCTTTTTAACTATTGTTGTCTTTTTAATTGTATATATTGCTTGTTTTATGTTGCTATGGCCGTTGGCTAATGCGAATAAAGTATATCTATCTATGCCATATAGGGACGCGGGTGGCGCTGTGGGTTAAACCACAGAGCCTAGGACTTGCTGATCAGAAGGTTGGTGGTTCGAATCCCGGCGACGGGGTGAGCTTCTGTTGCTCAGTCCCTCCTCCTGCCAACCTAGCAGTTCGAAAGCACGTCAAAGTGCAAGTAGATAAATAGGTACCACTCCGGCAGGGAGGTAAACGGTGTTTCCATGCGCTGCTCTGGTTCGCCAGAAGCGGCTTAGTCCTGCTGGCCACATGACCCGGAAGCTGTACGCCGGCTCCCTCGTCCAATAAAGCGAGATGAGCGCCGCAACCCCAGAGTCGGTCACGACTGGACCTAATGGTCAGGGGTCCCTTTAACCTTTACCTCATTTATGCCATCTTTGCCCACTTAGGCGGGACGAGAGTCTGCCCCGCCGGGGGCGACAGCTGAGAATGGAGGAGGGAAGAAGAAGCAGAAGGAGAAAGAGCTGGATGAGTTGAAGAAGGAAGTGAATTTGGTAAGTCAAAGCGCTGGCCGGTGTGGCTGTTTGGGGGGGCGCTGGGGTCAAAGCTTGGCATAAAGGCTGGTCAGTGGCCCCTCTAGTCCAGACTCCCCACAGTGGCCAAGTACCCCTAAGAAACTAGGAACCCAGATAGACTGCCACTGGAGCTGGAGGCTCTATAAGAACATAAGAAGAACATGCTGGATCAGGCCAAAGTCATCTAGTCCAGCCTCCTCTTCTCACAACAGCCAACCAATGGGAAGCCTCCAAGCAGGACCTGAGTGCGAAAGCAGCACTCGCCACAGGTGTTTTTCTGACAGTGGAGGGAGAAGATAGCCATTGGGGTTGGTTGCCTTATTATCCTCCGTGATAAGGCTCCATGCTCAGGGATCTATCAAGGGTTCACAGCAGTAGGCGGGAGAGAAATGAAGTTTCTCTTGCATTTTAACGAGGAATGACCTTATTTGCACTTCTCAACCAATATGCGAACCAAAACACAACAGTCTTTGAAAATTCGCACTTATCTGAATTTTGCAATGCATTTTCTTACAAAAACGAACCATATTGGGGGAAAGCATGCCAGGGTGGGGGTGGGGAATGGAAAACACACACACACACACAATAGTGAAAACAGCAGACATTAAATTTGGGGGAAATGGCTTGCAAAAATATGCACCTTAAAATTGAATAACACAGAAATACTGTACATAAAAGAGAAATTTGTACTAAAATGCTAAGGATTTAAAAAACCTCTCTCTCAAAACTGCTGCAGAACTGAAATCAATATTGCAAAAATAATAATAATAAAGAACAGGGTTTTTTCCTCCAGCTAAGTCCTGCTCAGTATAGACCTGCTGAAATGGATGGAAGCAAGTTAGTCATGCCTGTTAACCTCAGTAGGTCTACTTGGAGTAGGAACAGCACCACAAACAACTCTGAGAGCACTAAGACTGACCCCCGCAAGCAGGAAGAAGCCGCCCCTGTCCCTGCTGGGATGAGGGGGCAAAGTGACGGAGGGTGGGGAGTCATGGAAGGTGGTCTGCCCAAGGACCCCCCCTCTCTGTGTGTGTCCGTCTCCTCCTCACAAGAACAGCCAGGAGGAGAAAGATGCTTTGTGCGCTGACAGCGAGAAGGAATGTCTCTCCTCGGTTTCCCGGATCCTGCTCCTTTTCCGAGGACGGTCCAGCTCTTCTGCCCCCCGCGACTAACAGCCTTTCTCTGCCCCCCCTTGTCCTGTCCTTCTTCTCTCTCCCCTTGCAGGATGACCACAAGCTGTCGCTGGACGAAATCAGCAGGAAGTACCAAGTGGACCTGTCCCGGGTGAGTCCGAGGGGACATTTGCTGCTCCTCTTTGCCATGTACCCTCCAAAGCATTTTGCCACTCTTGGGTTTCTGCATGGGGAGGGGCGGGCGAGTGGGTATCAAGGCATCCTGGCTTTCATTTATCCCATGGGGGGAGGGTTATATGCCGGCCTTCTGACCGGGGCTGAGTTCGCACCCATGTCCGGTGGCTCAATATGCCCAAGAACTTAGGAATCGAGATAGACTGCCCCTGGAGCTGGAGGCTCCATAAGGGCAGAAGAAAAGCCCAGTTCAGGTCAAAGGGGGGGGGTCCACCTATTCCAGCATCCTGCACTCTCCCCTCCTGCAATTTCCAGCAACTAATATTCATAAGCATTGCTGGCACCATTTTGGCTACTAGCCTAAGGTTTTTTTCAATGAATCTGGGACACTTTTCAACTTCTTTTTTTTTAATACACATACATTTTTATTAGTTTTTCAACATACCATTTTCAACAGTAATTAAACATACTTTCATATCGTATACCATCTTTTTTTTTCTTCCATCAACCACATCTGAAAATTTCCCAATCTACTCACTAAATATACATTCCTTACTTCCACAATTACATTTAACTCATAACTAATATCTCTCTTCTTTCTCTACTTTGCAATGCTTCGTAAATCTCTCCTTACAAAACTTCTCCTAGCCCTACTGGGACAGTTTTCAACTTCAATAGGAATGGTAGGATTTTGTATGGGGACTGATTTGTGAATCTGGGGACTGTCCCCGGGAAACGGGGGTGTTCGGTAACCTCAGTCTCCTCTGTGAAGTCTTATCCTCCGTAAAGCACAGGGCTGCCCCAAAGAATCCTGGGAAATATACAGTACTTTGCCCCCTCACAGAACTACAATTCCCAGGATTCTGGGGTGGGGAATTGCTTTAAGTGTTTTTATGTAGCCAATGCTTCTTGCTTGCTTGTAGAATGGAGACATTTTGTGAAAGCTCTGAATTTTGCATGGTTGGAAAGTCAAGAGCTGCAGCCATTGGCCCCCAAGAAGTTGCCTACAAGGGAATGTGGCCCTTGGCCTCCCTCTGATTCCACCACACAGGTTAATATGCCCTCTCTTTTTCTCTTTCTTTGTCTCCTTCCATGCCAGGGCCTGACCAACACGCGGGCAGCGGAGATCCTGGCCAAGGATGGCCCCAACGCCTTGACCCCCCCTCCAACCACCCCAGAGTGGGTCAAGTTCTGCCGGCAGCTCTTTGGGGGGTTTTCCATCCTGCTGTGGATCGGGGCCATTCTCTGCTTCCTGGCCTACAGCATCCAAGCAGCAATGGAGGATGAGCCGGCCAATGACAACGTAAGTCTTGTGGCCCCCAGACAGGCACCCCCAAACCTGGCCCTCCAGCTGTTTTGGGACTACAACTCCCATCATCCCAGTGGTCAGGGATGATGGGAACTGTAGTCCTAAAACAGCAGGAGGGCCAAGTTTGGGGGTGCCTGCCCCAAGAGGGTAGGATCCCAACCCAGGCTGGCAGCAGCTCACCAGGGGTTCAGAGAAGGGACATTGCCAGACCTACTTGGAAAAGAGGATTCTAGTCCTCATGGTTCTGAGCAAAAGGTTGAAATAGGAATGAAGGAAGCTGCCTTAGATTGCGTCAGACAATTTGTCCATATAGATTAGTTCTGCCTACACTGACTGGCAGCAGCTCTCCAGGGTTTCAGGCAGGCGGTGTTCACAGCAGCTCCTGGATAATTATTAATTTATTTTACAAATCTTATGCACCCTTTAGTTTAAGAACAAAACAAAATACAAAGCAGTTTTTTTAAAAAAAAATAAAACAGTAGAATTAGCAGTAAAAAAACAGTTAAAAGCAACTATTTAAAACATGCAAAAAACATTAAGATCAACAATAAGCTAAAAAACCAGGTTAAAGCACATGTCAGCATCTCTACATATCTAGGCAGGCTTGCCTAACAATAATGTTTTTAGCAGAAGCAGTACAGTGAAGGTGCATGGATGGTGTCAAGAGGCAGGGAGTTCCAAAGTCTGGGTGCTGCCACACTAAAAGAGTGATTTCTTACGAATGCAGAACTAGTGCAGATCAAAGCAGCTGCGTAAGCACATGTGAGCTAAGGCAATATTGCAAATTGTTCCCAAATTGTTAAGGGCTTTGCATCCTATTAGTAACCCCTTGAACACGTACCACGCAGGTCAGTATAAGGGCAGAGAGGCCCCCCTCACGAGTCAGACCCACATAGGGCTGGGGTAGCCAGTGGGGTGCCCTCCGGAAGGGGCTGGACTCCAACACTCCCACGAGTCAACGTGGCCGTTGCCCAGGGAGGGTGAGGACGGAGTCGGGAGTTGGCTGTCCAACAAGCTGCCTGATCGTGCAAGAAAAGTGTTGGGTGGGGCTTAGGGGGCGACTAACCTGTGGCCTCCCAGGTGTCGCTTGACTCCAGCTCCCATCCCCATCCCTGACCCCCTGGCCATGTGGGCTGGGGCTGGGGTCCACCCCTGACTTCGAGGGGCTCCACCTCTGGTTTTTAAGCAGAGCTCAGGGGACCATCTGTCAGGGATTCTTTAGTTGTGATTCCTGCATATTTGGGGTTGGGCTGGATGACCTCTGAGGTCCCCCCCAATTCTACAATTCTATGATCATGCACCTTAGCCTTGGAGATGTCTGGGATGGGACCCACAAGCTTAACATGAGTCCACAGGGTGATGCAGCAGCAGAAAAAGCTAACACTATTCTAGGCTGCATCCACAGAAGTCTAGTGTCCAGATTGTGTTACTTTTATTGTTGTCAGCTGCTCTGAGCCCGGCTTCAGCTCGGGAGGGCGGGATATACAGTGGTGCCTCGCAAGACGAAAAGAATCCGTTCCGCGAGTCTCTTCGTCTAGCGGTTTTTTCGTCTTGCGAAGCAACCCTATTAGCGGCTTAGCGGATTAGCGCTATTAGCGGTTTAGCGGCTATTAAAGGCTTAGCGGCTAAAAGGCTATTAGCGGCTTAGCGGCTTAGAAAAAGGGGGGGAGCGGGAAAAAACCGCAAGACTCGCAAGACGTTTTCGTCTTGCGAAGCAAGCCCATAGGGAAAATCGTCTTGCGAAGCAACTCAAAAACGGAAAACCCTTTCGTCTAGCGGGTTTTCCGTCTTGCGAGGCATTCGTCTTGCGGGGCACCACTGTAAATATATTATTATTATTATTATTATTATTATTATTATTATTATCATTATCAAGGGAAGTAATAGGTAAAGGGTAAAGGGACCCCTGACCATTAGGTCCAGTCGTAGCCGACTCTGGGGTTGTGGCGCTCATCTCACTTTAGTGGCTGAGGGAGCCGGCGTACAGCTTCCGGGTCATGTGGCCAGCAGGACTAAGCCGCTTCTGGCGAACCAGAGCAGCACACGGAACCGCCGTTTACCTTCCCGCCGGAGTGGTACCTATTTATCTACTTGCACTTTGACGTGCTTTCGAACTGCTAGGTTGGCAGGAGCAGGGACCGAGCAACGGGAGCTCACCACATCGCGGGGATTCGAACCGCCGACCTTCTGATCAGCAAGTCCTAGGCTCTGTGGTTTAACCCACAGCGCCACCCGCATCCCAAGAGAAGTAATAGGTAAAGGTAAAGGTACCCCTGCCCGTACGGGCCAGTCTTGACAGACTCTGGGGTTGTGCGCCCATCTCACTCAAGAGGCCGGGGGCCAGCGCTGTCCGGAGACACTTCCGGGTCACGTGGCCAGCGTGACATCGCTGCTCTGGCGAGCCAGAGCCGCACACGGAAATGCTGTTTACCTTCCCGCTAGTAAGCGGTCCCTATTTATCTACTTGCACCTGGGGGTGCTTTCGAACTGCTAGGTTGGCAGGCGCTGGGACCGAACAACGGGAGTGCACCCTGCCGTGGGGATTCGAACTGCCAACCTTTCGATCGGCAAGTCCTAGGCACTGAGGTTTTACCCACAGCGCCACCCGTGTCCCTAAGAGAAGTAATAGTCCCACTCTATTCTGCCTTGGTCAGACAAACACCTGGAATACTGTGTCCAGTTCTGGGCAGCACAATTTAAGAAGGATGTTGACAAGCTGGAAGGGAGAACAAGATGATTGAGGGGCTGTAAAATAAGCCTTATGAGGAATGGTTGAAGGAGCTGGGCCTGTTTAGCCTGGAAAAGAGGAGACAGGAGAAAGGATAGCTTTGGGCCCCTTCCAACCCTCAGATTCCCGACCCTCCATGCACAGAGCAGCTGCTCAGTCACGAAGCTTTGGTATTTCGCTCTGTGTGGACAGCAGGCCTCAGAAACGGACAAAGGCTGCATTCGCTTGAGAATGTCCCTCCTGCCTTCTCAGCCAGGCAGAAGAGCGAGGGGCAAGGGGTTTTGAGGCAAGCAGCGCCATGCGCCCAAAAGGTCTTGGTCTCCGTCCAGCACCTTGGGGCAGGGTTATCCCAGGACGGGCTGGTCACTCCCTGGGTCATGCCAGAAGCCCCAGCCCACCTGCCATGGAGCAGGCGGGGAGGGTTCATCCTGTCCCCAGGGCGGTATTTGCAGCCCTGCATGCCTCGCCCTGTGTAGGGTTACACTGTCAGACTTCCTGAACAGAATTGGGGGCCCAGGCAGGAGACTCCAAAACAGAAGGCAGAGGATTTTGCGCTGGGCAAGAACGACCATGCTGCTGGGCCCCTCACTTCTTCTTGTTGTTGTTGTTGTTGTCGTCATTTAGTCGTGTCCGCCTCTTCGTGACCCCCTGGACCAGAGCACGCCAGGCACCTCTGTCCTCCACTGCCTCCCACATGCTGGTCTCTCCGAGAACACTGTCCCACCATCTCGTCCTCTGTCGCCCCCTTCTCCTTGCGCCCTCCATCTTTCCCAACATCAGGGTCTTTTCCAGGGAGTCTTCTCTTCTCATGAGGTGGCCAAAGTCTTGGAGCCTCAGCTTCAGGATCTGTCCTTCCAGTGAGCACTCAGGGCTGATTTCCTTCAGGTTGGATCTTCTTGCCGTCCATGGGACTCTCCAGAGTCTCCTCCAGCACCTGAATTCAAAAGCATCCCTTCTTCAGCGATCAGCCTTCTTTATGGTCCAGCTCTCACTACTGGGAAAACCAGAGCTTTAACTATGTGGGCCTTTGTCGGCAAGGTGATGTCTCTGCTTTTTAAGATGTCATATATACCTCAAATTCATAAATGAGCAAGCAGATGAGGAACCTCGCCGTCCACCTTTGGCTGAGTCTGGCCTTTGGCCCAGCTAGCTTCGTATTTTCTACACCCACCGGCTGCAGCTGGTTTCTAACTTTCCCTCAGGAATAATTATTATTATTATTATTATTATTATTATTATTATTATTATTATTATTATTATTATTATACTACACCCTTTTCCCAGACTGGGACTCAAGGGTTACGCAGATTAAAGGCTTATACAAAAAGCTAAAAGCTTTTTCAGAGCCACACATTTGTGAATGGGGAGCTCTTACCGCCAGCTGATTTCCTTTGAGAAAAATCCCTTTTAAAAAGGAATGAAGGAAGGAAAAGGCTTCCTTCTTCTCTTCCTTCTGACAAAAAATTCCCTCAGTGGCTTAAGAGAGACTCCCCTCAGAAGCCATTTTGGGGTCTGCTCTGTGGTAGATGGAAAAACACAGGTAAAGGGGGCTTATTCCCTGAGGAAATCATTTATTTTATTCATTTCACGAAATTTATATATCTCTTGACTATATATATTTATATTTTACCTCAGTCACTTCCCATCCGTGAGAGAGAGAATCATGGAATTGTAAAGTTGGAAGGGACCCCAAGGATCATCTAGTCTGTCATTTTTTGATTTTTGATTTTTTGATTTCCACTGATATTTTCTTTTTTCCTTCCCAGCTTTACTTGGGGGTGGTGCTGGCGGCCGTCGTCATCGTCACCGGCTGCTTCTCCTACTACCAAGAGGCCAAGAGCTCCAAAATCATGGACTCTTTCAAGAACATGGTGCCCCAGGTAAGAAGGCCCCGCCACGCGTCTCATATGCTTATTTTCATAGAACGGTGGAGCTGGATGGGACCCCCAAGGCTCATCTAGTCCACCCTCCTGAAATGCTCTTAAAAAAGAATTCTCCTCCCCCCACAACTTGGAACAAGGACTGCAGATGATCCCCTTCTTGATTCACACACTTAAGCAGCTTGATAGCAAATATCACATCCATCTCATCCTCAGCCCTCCAGCTGCCAAATTTCTTTTCGTGCCTCCCTTTTTTCACATCCAGAGATTGTATTTTGATATTTTCAGCGCAAGGATGGCTTTGAAACAGGGTTGGAAACTAGAATAGGAGGAGATCAATGGCTGCTACCGTACAGCAGGCATTCTCCACTGCCCTCTTGTGGTTGAGACAAGGCGCACTGTTGTTTTGCGTATTTACTTTTAAAAATGTGTTTGTTTTTTAATTAAAATATTGAAGCAGTTTGCACACACACACACACACACACAGAGAGAGAGAGAGAGAGAGAGAGAGAGAGAGAGAGAGAGAGAGAGAGAGAATGATGTCCTATTGGAAGACTGGACAAACGCTAGAACATTAGCCGTGGCGAAGTTTTTATCGGTGGTTGCAAGAACCAATGATCCCTATCTTTAAGTCTGAACAAAATGCTTGTTTAACCTGGAGGTAGGCTGACCGAATTGTGCATTGCTTTGCAATGATTTGTTTGGTCTCTGGAGCATAATAAAGATTGATTGATTGATTGATTGATTGATTGATTGATTTTAGGGCAAGTAAATCCCTCTGGTCTAGGCTGCCTCTTTTGTGCCAGCTTCAGTTCTTCCCAGGAATTATTGGTTTTTAATGATCGTAGAATCATAGAAATGTCTAGTTGGAAGGAACTACGAGGGTCATCTAGTCCCAGCCCCTGCAAGGCAGTGCGGGAATCTTTCACCCAACGTGGGGCTTGAACTCACGCCCTGAAGTTAAGAGTCCCATGCCCCACTGACTGAGCTAACCATTGTTTTCGTTTTATTTTGTGCTTTGTGTCCTCGTTTTGTATTTTTGTATTGTGAGCTGCCCTGTGATCTTCGGGTGAAGGGCAGCCTGCGAATTTAATAAATAATAATAAAAATAATAATTCAGCTTCTTTATTCTAAAGCGTCCTGGTTTTGCCACCTGGGAGGGCGGAGAAAGTCATTGCACGCTTCACGTTTTTGCAGGAATTTATGTATAGGGTTTTTTTTGGGGGGGGGGGTTGCTCCTCCAGCAGATCTCACGCACATGCAGCCCACTACCAAAATCAGCACAATCACTTTTGTGACTTGTCCCCACAAAACACTTCATCACAGTTTCTTCCTATCTGGTCAAAGGGCCTTTGCTGCATGATACCAAATGTAAGAATTCGCTGATCAATGTATCTCTGTACTGGCTCACTGGGAAAACTCCAGAAATTCCTATAGACCTGTGAGCTCAGCTCCTCAGCAGCCCCTCTGCCTGAGGGATAATCCCTGGCCTCCTGATACCTGAGTGCCAGACAGGTAGCCGTTCCAGAAATAACAAACCCAGATGAAGACAAAAGGGTGGGATGAACTGGGCTGGAAAACAGGGAAATGTAAAGATCTCTTTTGTTCCACTTGATGGGGGTTTGGTGGAGGGCAAGGGGAACCATGGGGCAGGGTCCAGGGTGCTCAGATTACTGCCACCAGACCTCCCCTTTCATGATGTAACCGTGATGCATGAGTGATGTAGTTGGGGGGGTGTAACATGGGGATTAGCAGCTAATAAAAGTTGGGGCTTCCATCTTGTTCCACCTGGTGGCAGGTGGGAGTCCTGTCGCGACAGTCTTCAATCAAGACCAAGCCTACTGGCTGCTGTTTTGCTCTGGTATTTCTGGCTGGTGTCCTTGTTTTTTGTCCAAGGGAGCCCTCAGATTTCTCCGTTAACAACGTTTTGTGTTTTTAAAATGTGCAAACTTGGGGGTCAAGTACAGGATGGAGGCAGCACCTTGAATGGCATTCACCTACAGCCCTGGTTGCCAATGTGGGGCACACACCCCACAGTGAGGCAATTTGATTTTTAAAGGGAAGCAATTCAAGAATGTGTTATTCACAGTGAATGGGAGCTCACTTTTTGAATAATAAGAATTACATGTCAGGATTTTAGGGATGCTGAGGTGGGGCGTGGCCACAAAAAGGCTGGGAACCACTGACCCACAGGATTGACACCGTCTTGTCCCCACAGCAAGCCCTGGTGATCCGGGAAGGGGAGAAGAATCAGATCAATGCGGAGAACGTGGTGGTCGGGGACCTGGTGGAGGTGAAAGGAGGAGACCGGGTTCCCGCCGACCTCAGAATCATCTCCTCGCATGGCTGCAAGGTGAGGGGGCTGAGAGGGAGACGGCACAAGGGAAGACCCCAGGGGGAATAAAAATCAATTTTTTAAAAAAATTTAAAAATCAGATTTTTTTTTATTTAAATCAGATTTTTAAAATAAAATGCTTTCACAGGAAAAATTTTCTAAAGATCGTTTTCTATTTAAGTTACATTATAGTTCAAAGGCTATTCATCAGGAAATAAGGATTTGTTTTAAGTTTTTCATGTGTGCTAAAACTCAGTCTAAGGTTTATACACACACACACACACACACACACACATATATACACACACACACAAGGCGGGACGCGGGTGGCGCTGTGGGTAAAAGCCTCAGCGCCTAGGGCTTGCCGATCGAAAGGTCGGCGGTTCGAATCCCCGCAGCGGGGTGCGCTCCCGCTGCTCGGTCCCAGCGCCTGCCAACCTAGCAGTTCGAAAGCACCCCCGGGTGCAAGTAGATAAATAGGGACCACTTACTGGCGGGAAGGTAAACGGCATTTCCGTGTGCTGCGCTGGCTCGCCAGATGCAGCTTGTCACGCTGGCCACGTGACCCGGAAGTGTCTCCGGACAGCGCTGGCCCCCGGCCTCTTAAGTGAGATGGGCGCACAACCCTAGAGTCTGTCAAGACTGGCCCGTACAGGCAGGGGTACCTTTACCTTATATATATACAGTGGACGCTCAGGTTGCGAACTGCGCACGCACGGGTTGTGATTTGGTGCATGCGCAACCACCGAAACCCAGAAGTAGCGTTCCGGTAGTTCTGGGTTCGGCGTGGTGCGCAACCTGAAAACATGCAACCTGAAGCATCTGTAACCTGAGGTATGACTGTATATATAATGTTTAACCACATCAGTTAACAAACATGGATACATATGCTATAATGTTATTGCTTTAGTTAAATAAATGGTTTAACTTGTTATTAAGGAAATAATTGGTTTTCTCCTTCCGATAAAGTACAGCAGAAAGGTAGTCTAAATATATGCAGTTAACTTCTTAAACCTCACAATAATTTCATAATTATCTGTCTATGTATTTCTAATAATATAACCAAATCAGTAATTTTTGATATAACTGTAAAAACTACTCTGACAATTTATTATTCCAAAAATGAAACCTTCACCTGGTTGTAAATATTAAGATTATACCAGCAAGAATGAGTCTTTCTGTAAAAAAGAAAAGAAAAAAATTTAAATCAAGTCTTACTGACTAGTGATTTAAATCGTGATTTAAATTGATTTGATTTAAATCAAATCCACCTTGGAAGGCCGAGCAGCGAGGTGCAAAATATAGAATCAAAGAACTGTAGAGTTTGGAGTGAGACTCATCTAGTCCCATTCCCTGCAAAACGCTGAAATAAATTAAATCATCAAACCATCGATTCTAGCACGCATGGGGCCACGCAAATGATATAATTTGGCATCAGAATGATTGGCAATCGTAATTGCATTATAATTTGGCATTGTTATAATGAGGCTATTAGTGAATCATTGTAATTGAAAACTAATAATAATTATTATTATATATAAAAAGAAAATAAATGCATATTTTGCCTCTCATGGAAGGAGGAGCAGGATATAAATCCAGTCGATAAATACCGTATTTTCAAGCGTATAAGACTACTGGGCATATAAGACGACCCACCAACTTTTCCAGTTAAAATATAGAGTTTGGGATATACTCGCTGTATAAGACTACCCCTCTTCCAACGCACACCAAATAAAAATTTAAAAAAGCCAGTTTCCAGCCCGGCTCGGAAATCTGCTCCACTTCCCAGTGGCAGGGGGTTTCTGGGGCCAATTTTCAAGCATATTTCTGCTTCATCTGTGTCCTCTGATTTAATTTGCTGTCATTTTATCCTTCGCTGGGGAGTTGCTGCAGGAGCTGCTGCTGTAGCTGGCATATAAAACGACCCCCGACTTTTGAGAAGATTTCCCTGGGTTAAAAAGTAGACTTATACGCCAGAAAATACAGTATGTTGGGGAAAATACACAAAACCCCACATCATGCAGCTTTTTCTGTTGTCTCGTGCAGGTGGATAACTCCTCCCTGACGGGCGAGTCGGAACCACAGACCCGTTCTCCGGAGTTCACCCACGAGAACCCGCTGGAGACCCGGAACATCTGCTTCTTCTCCACCAACTGCGTGGAAGGTGAAAGGGCAAGGGGGGATGGAGGGGGGCGAGGAAAAGCAGAGACCGGACCCACTTCACCCCCCCCCCCCAGGAAGATCAGACCTGGACATCATAACCTTTACTGCCAGGCTGCAGGAATCGCTGCCTCCGCCATCCCTGGGCATTCCCCATGACACGCTGAATTGCACCCAGACCCTGCCCACCTTATTCATTCATTTATTCATCTATTCGTTTGCTAGTTCATGTCAAAATTGATCCAATAGCAGAGTGGACACACACACACGCAAATTTAATGAAGAAATACACACACACACGTATACACACACAAACACATAACGTATTTTTCGCTCCATAAGACGCACCTAGTTTTTAGAGGAGGAAAACAAGAAAAAAAATATTCTGAACGAAACAGTGGATGTATGATTTTTGTGGTTCATGCTGTGGCCACAGACATGTGATCTGATGGTGAATTTGGGGTGACCCAATGCAAAAATCCTGAGGATCCATGTGGATCCATGCTTTGTAACCATGTTTTTGCACCATTGCAGCCCCATGAAACAGTGGGTGCGTGATTTTTTTGGTGCAGCTGTAGCCATCGACATTGTACGTGATCTGATGGTGAATTTGGGGTGACCCAATGCAAAAATCCTGAGGATCCATGGGCTTTTACCTCCCCCCTCCCAGGCAGCCTCCTTTATCTCTAGCGTCCCTTATCTCCCTCCCCAATCGGCAAATGATCAGCGGCTTTGTTTCAACACCCACTTCCCTCTTTCAAAAAAATATTAAAAAATAAGGCATGATCTGCTTTTCTCCCCTGGGCAATTCGGCTCCAGGGACCACGCACTTGCTCCATAAGACGCACAGACACTTCCCCTTACTTTTTAGGAAGAAAAAAGTGTGTCTTATGGAGTGAAAAATACGTGTGTGTGTGTGTGTGTGTGTGTGTATGCAAATTTAATGAAGAAAGAAGTGAAAGAGAAACCAAGGAGGGGAAGGAATAAAAAATAAAATGATGGGAGAGAAAGATCACCTCACATTTAAAATACAAGAACCATTGTTTTTGTGGTCTGAACATTCTTTTTTTCCTGGCTGATATTCCCCACAGGATTTAGGTAGGTTTCAGAATCTCAGGTTTACCTGAGAAACCCAGGAACCAGGCATGCCCCAGAACATAAGAATATAAAGAGAGTCTGGCTTCAGGATCAGGCCATCTCGGCTCTCACCCTGTTCTCACAGTAGCAAAAAGCCCCTCAGAACTCAGGGATGTGGATAGACTGCCTCTGGAGCTGGAGGATCCATAAGATCTTAGGAGCCTGGCTCGTGGATCAGGCCAAAGGGGGCCCATCGAGCCCAGGATCCTGTCCTGAGAAAGGGCTCCCAGGATTCGATCACAGCAGAGGTGAAAGAGAAACAAAGTTTTTAGGGAAGGGAAGTTTTAGTGTTTAGGGGAGTTTTTAATGATTGATGTTTTAATGTGTTTTTAATCTCTGTTGGAAGCTGCCCAGAGTGGCTGGGGAAACCCAGCCAGATGGACAGGGTACAAATAATAAATTATTATTATTATTATTATTATTATTATTATTACTACTACTACTACTACTACTACAGCCCTCTTCCTTCTTGCGGTTTCCAGCAAATGGTATTCAGAAGGTGGAGGCAGAGTATAGCTAGCCATCAATACCCCCTTCTCCTCCCTGAGTTTGTCCAATCCTCCTTTAAAGGATCCTGTGGCAGGGAGTTCCACAGTTTAACAACGTGCTGCGCAGGTTCGCCTGAGGAACACAGGTGCCAGGGACGCCCCCGGAACCAGCAACTTCTCCCCGATGTGGAGGAAAAATAAACCTCTGCCCTTTCCCTCCCGTCCTGCGCAGGCACCGCCCGGGGCATCGTCATCTCGACCGGGGACCGGACGGTGATGGGCCGCATCGCCTCCCTGGCGTCCGGCCTGGAGGTGGGCCGCACCCCCATCGCCATGGAGATCGAGCACTTCATCCGCATCATCACGGGGGTGGCCGTCTTCCTGGGCATGTCCTTCTTCATCCTCTCCCTCATCCTGGGCTACACCTGGCTGGAGGGCGTCATCTTCCTCATTGGCATCATCGTGGCCAACGTCCCCGAAGGACTCCTGGCAACCGTCACGGTAGGCTCAGAACTAGGTTCTGGGGGGCACTGGGGGGCTGTGGAAAAGGAGGCCAACAATATACAGTGGTCCCTCGCGGTGGCGAGGCTGCATGCTCCACTACTGGGGGTGGAGAGTAGGCGGGGGCATGGCTGCCCCCCCCAGAGAGTGTGGTTGTGCCCGGGGGTGTGGCGCGTGCCCGAGGGCATGGCGCGCCGTCCACAGGGGCGTGGAGGATGTTCTGGGGGTGTGGTGCCCAGAGTGGCTGGGGGAACTCAGCCAGATGGGCGGGGTATAAATAATAAATTATTATTATTATTATTATTATTATTATTATTATTAGTCTGTGGGTGCGGGGCGCCTGGCACCCGGTGGGGTGTGTGGCGTGTGTGGGGGGGCCACTGCGATGGCACCCTACCAGAATAGTGGTGCCAGGGGCGGTCCACTCCCTCCACACCCCCGTTCCTCTGCCAGTGGTACCTCGGTTTACGAACTTAATCCGTTCTGGAAGTCCGTTCTTAAACTGAAACCTTTCTTCAACCGAGGCACACTTTCCCTAATGAGGCCTCCCGCCACCAGTGCCATTTCACTGTTCGGATTCCATTCTTGGACCGAGGTAAAGTTCACAAACCGGGACACCACAGTCACGCCTCATGTTACGTCCGCTTCATGTTATGTTCTTTCAGGTTACGTTCCACAGCAACCCAGAAGTACCGGAAAGGGTTACTTCCAGGTTTCAAGGCTTGCGTAGGCGCGCAAAATGACATCACACAAATGCGCAGAAGTGGCAAATTGCAACCCGCACGTGCGCATATGCGCCGCTCTGGGTTATGTTCTTTTCATTTTGCGAACGGACCTCTGGAACGGATCCCATTCGCAACCAGAGGTAGCACTGTACTTCGGTTTTGTGGAGTTTGTAAACTGAATTGTTCTTATGCAGGACTGTTCTTAAACCGAGGTACCACTGTATCTGGAGGGCTGTAAAATGTGCCCTAGAGGAATGTTCCCAAAATGGAGGCAGGATATGCTTCCAAAAACCAGCAGCTGAAAACCACAGGAGGGAAAAGGGCTTTGGTGCTCAGATCCCGCGTACGGGTTTCCCCAAAGGGGCCCCTGGTTGGCCACTGTGAAGACTCTCCCTTTTTTCAATCCTTGCTTGACCCTCTCCCCGCCGCCCGGCAGGTGTGCTTGACCCTGACCGCCAAGCGCATGGCCCGCAAGAACTGCCTGGTGAAGAACCTGGAGGCCGTGGAGACGCTGGGCTCCACCTCCACCATCTGCTCCGACAAGACGGGGACCCTCACCCAGAACCGCATGACTGTGGCCCACATGTGGTTCGACAACCAGATCCACGAGGCAGACACCACCGAGGACCAGTCTGGTGAGCGGGGGGCAGGGGGGGGCACATGGGGGGAAAGAGCTGCTGTTGGGAAGCAGGGTGGGAGGGGAGTTGGTCTGGGGTGCCCCCGTGACCCCACAGCTTTCAAATCAGGACTGAACCCCTTTCCCTCCAGAGTGCCTGGAGGTGGTTGGAAGATGGATGGCAGCTAACAGATTGAGGTTGAATGCTGACAAGACAGAAGTACTGTTTCTGGGGGACAGAAGGTGGGCAGGTGTGGAGGACTCCCTGGTCCATGAATGGGGTAACTGTGCCCCTGAAGGACCAGGTGCGCAACCTGGGAGTCATTTTGGACTCACAGCTGTCCATGGAGGCGCAGGTCCATTCTGTGTCCAGGGCAGCTGTTTACCAGCTCCATCTGGTACGTAGGCTGAGACCCTATCTGCCTGCGGACTGTCTCGCCAGAGTGGTGCATGCTCTGGTTATCTCTCGCTTGGACTACTGCAATGCGCTCTATGTGGAGCTACCTTTGAATGTGACCTGGAAACTACAACTAATCCAGAATGCGGCAGCTAGACTGGGGACTGGGAGCAGCCTCTGAGACCACATAACACCTGTCTTGAAAGACCTACATTGGCTCCCAGTACGTTTCTGAGTGCAATTCAAAGTGTTGGTACTGACCTTTAAAGCCCTAAACGGCCTTGGTCCGGTATACCGGAAGGAGCGTCTCCACCCCCATCGTCCAGCCCAGACACTGAGGTCCAGCTCCAAGGAGGGCCTTCTGGCAGTTCCCTCACTGCGAGAAGCGAAGTTACAGGGGACCAGGCAGAGGGCCTTCTCGGTGGTGGCACCCGCCCTGTGGAACGCCCTCCCATCAGATGTCAAAGAGAACAACATCTACCAGACTTTTAGAAGACATCTGAAGGCAGCCCTGTTTAGGGAAGCTTTTAATGTTTAATAGGTTATTGTATTATAGTGTTCCGTTGGAAGCCGCCCAGAGTGGCTGGGGAAACCCAGCCAGATGGGCGGGGTATAAATAAATTATTATTATTATTATTATTATTATTATTATTATTATTATCATCATCATCATCATCATCATCATCATCATCATTATTCCCCCTGCCCCACCTCACAGGCACCTAGGAATCCAATAATAACAGTCTAAAACACAGCGTGTTCTCTTCCTCCCCCTGCAGGTTAACTCAAATATTTATGGGGGGGGGAGATGCTGGCAACCAGGCAGCCCCATCCCATGCTCCCACTTTGGAGCATAGCTGTCAAGGTTTCCCTTTTTTTAAGGGAAATTCCCTTATTCTGAATAGGATTCCTCGCGAGAAAAGGGAAATGTTGGCGGCTATGCTTTGGGGACGAATTGTTACCGCCTGTCTGAGGCCCCAGTGGTACCTGCTCACAGTATCAGCCCCCCTCCCCCGCCATACTCCACTCTTCAAATAACTCTGACCCCCGACACCCCCTGGTTCTCTCCCCCCAGGAGCCACGTTTGACAAGCGCTCGCCCACGTGGACGGCCCTGGCGCGGATCGCCGGCCTCTGCAACCGGGCCGTCTTCAGAGCAGGGCAGGACAAGGTCCCCATCTCTAAGGTACAGGGGCGGGAGCAGAGGGAGGCCGGATTCAGCCTCCAGAAAACCTGGGAAGAACTCGGTAGCCCCCACAAGGTTTAACCGATTGTTAAACCACCCTGGGAATTGTAGCTCTGGGGTCTCATCTTCCGTTCCAAGATGGTGGCGCGTTCATACGCTCCGGCTCTGAGCTCTGTGTAATCTCACTGTATACAAGTTGTACAAGTGACAATAAAGTATTTCAATTTATTTCAATTTCCTAAGGCTCTCTGCACCCTGAATGAACTACAGTTCCCAGAGATTCTTTGCAGAAAGCCATGACTGGTATCATAGCGCTTTAAATGTGAATGTGGCCCTACAGTTCCCAGAGTTCCCTGGGAAGAAGAGTTGGCTGTTGAGCCACTCTGGGAATTATAGCGCTGGGAGGTGGAATGGGGGGGTTTCTTAATGACTCTCTGCACCCTTAACAAACTACAGTTCCCAGGATTCTTTGGAGGAAGCCTTAAACTGTTTAAAGTGAGATGGTAGCTCTTTGCGTGAGTGGTGCAGATGGGGCTAAGACGCCACCGACCCCTTACTCACCCTCTTGTTTCAAATTGCACCGCTGCATGTGGAGCCAAAAGAGGACACTTCCCTCCAAGCCACCTTGTGGGGGGCAGTAGACTTCCTCCCCTGACCCCCCTCCTTCCTTCCTTCGCCCCCTCTCTCTCTGCCAGAGGGACACGGCTGGGGACGCCTCAGAGTCCGCCCTCCTGAAATGCATCGAGCTCTCCTGTGGGTCCGTCAAGAAGATGCGCGACAGAAACCCCAAAGTGACGGAGATCCCTTTCAACTCCACCAACAAATACCAGGTTGGACATGTTTGTGTGTGTGTGGCAGTGGTGGTGCAGTGGTTAGAGCATGCGTAGGCAAACTAAGGCCCGGGGGCCGGATCCAGCCCAATTGCCTTCTCAATCCGGCCCACGGATGGTCTGGGAATCAGTGTTTTTACATGGGTATAATGTGCCCTTTTGGGATGCGGGTGGCGCTGTGGGTTAAAGCCTCAGCGCCTAGGACTTGCCGATTGCATGGTCGGCGGTTCGAATCCCCACAGCGGGGTGCGCTCCCGTCGTTCGGTCCCAGCGCCTGCCAACCTAGCAGTTCGAAAGCACCCCCGGGTGCAAGTAGATAAATAGGGACCGCTTACCAGCAGGAAGGTAAACGGCGTTTCCGTGTTCTGCGCTGGCTCGCCAGATGCAGCTTGTCACGCTGGCCACGTGACCCGGAAGTGTCTCTGGACAGCGCTGGCTCCCGGCCTATAGAGTGAGATGAGCGCACAACCCTAGAGTCTGTCAAGACTGGCCCGTACGGGCAGGGGTACCTTTACCTTTAATGTGCCCTTTTATTTAAAATGCATCTCTGGGTTATTTGTGGGGCATAAGAATTCGTTCATTTCCCCCCCAAAAAAATATAGCCCGGCCCCCCACAAGCTCTGAGTGTCTGAAAAAGTTTGCTGGGTTAGAGTGTTAGGCTAGGACTTGGGGGAGATGCAGGTTCGAATCCCCCTGGGCCATGAAGCTCACTGGTTTGTGACCTTGGGGGGGCAGCCCCCGCCTCTCTCAGCCTAACCTACCTCACACTGGACACATGGGGGTGGGGGTGGGGCTGTCACAGTCTCCATATCCTTGGGGCTACAGGTGGTTTTCACAGCTTCCCACTTTTATTGTGTCTGCCCCTGTTATTATACTGCTGGGTATTGGCATTTTTTAATCAGGAAACCTCCTAAGCCACTGCAGGGACCTTTGGACTGGAACAGCATTTTAAAAAATGAAGTTTGTAAGTTAATTAAGCAAGTCTTTGCTTTGCCTTGGAGCTCAGAGGAGTCAGTCCCCAAAGGCAGAGACTAGGAAGAACTCCCTGAAACAAGATCAGAATAATGACGCCCCTTATTTAAACTGGGATTTCTCCCCTTAACTCTTGCCTGAATCTGTTCATTCAACCAAGTGCTATAAGTGAAATGGCTGTAAGGGTCCGCTAGAGGGGGCCAGAGCTCGGCTTAATGGCAGGGGGGGTCAGGGCCATCAAGAAAGACCCCCCTTTTGCAATCTTCAGTCCACACATGCATTTTCGTCTCCTGGATTCGGCCTGAGAGGACGAGCTGAGGTGGTGTTCCTTGCACAGCCGCCGCCTCTGAAGCCAGGAGGAAGCCGGGTTCTCCTCACTGGGCTTTTAAGAGCCACTGAGAGCTGTGTTTTCACTCTGGGAAAACTCTGTGCTCAAAGGAAATCATATTATCCTCCACCAGGGCCAGGGCCTTCTCAGTGATGGCTCCGACCTGGTGGACTGCTCTGTCCCAGGAGACCAGGGCCCTGCAGGATTTAAGCTCCTTCTGTAGGGCCTGTAAGACAGAGCTATTCCGCCTGGCTTTCAATCTGAACTTAGCCTGATCTTTTATTCCCTTTCCTTCCCTCCCCCTCCCCTTTTTATGAAGATTACCCACTCTGGGATCCCACAGCTAATTCTCCCCTGGTCTCCTCGCTGGCCCAAATAGGACCAATTCAGCCAGCTAGTCCTGGGGATCATCTAATGTTTATTGGATGGATTTCCCCCCTAAATTGATTTTTGAATCCTGAATTTATTGTTATTCACGTTTTATACTGTATTTTATGCTGTTTTTGGTTGCATCAATTAAGTGTTTTAAATTTGTTGTTAGCCACCCTGAGCCCGGTTTTCTGAACCCGGAAGGGCGGGGTATAAATAAAAATGTATTTATTATTTATTAAAATGCTGAAATGCAGCAGGAACACAGGCACATATTTCACGGCAGGGACAAAGGGCACCACAGACGCCGTCCAAAGGAGTTCTGCTAGTTGTCCCCTGTGTGACAGAGGATTGTTGCTGCTCCCACACAGAGGGGCGGCAGACACCCTCTTGCTTTTGACTTTCAGGCATCTCCCAAATGCCTTTTTTTGGCCAACAGGCCTGTCTGAGCCTCTCTCTTTTTGACCACTCATGTTACCAATTGTTTTGTACTGTTTTTAACTCTGCACAGTGCCCTAATATTTCAGTACAGTCATACCTTGGGTTACAGACGCTTCAGGTTGCGTGTTTTCAGGATACGGATGCGCCAAAACCCGGAAGCACCAGAACGGGTTACTTCCATGTTTCGGCGTTGGCGCAAAAGCACTAAATTGTGCTTTGCACGTGTGCAGAAGCGCCGAGTCACAACCCAAGCGTGCTCAGATGCGGTCCTGCAGGTTGCGGACGCTGTGGGTTGCAGACGTGCCTCCCGCATGGATCACGTTCGCAACCCGAGTGTCCACTGTATATAAACAGTGGAATAGAAATCCTTTTACAATTAACGTTGGTTTTATTCAGGAACCCCAACTAAAGAATCCCTGGCATTTGGCCACCCAAGAGCCCCTTTGGCTTCAGAATAGACCTCCACTCAGATATCTCTCTTCCCTGCTTCTCCCTCCTGCTCCAGCTCTCCATCCATGAGCTGGAAGACAAGCCCAACGGCTACGTCCTGGTGATGAAGGGAGCCCCTGAGAGGATCCTCGACCGCTGCTCCAACATCCTCTTGCAAGGCCAGGAGGTGCCCCTCGACGAGGAGATGCGGGACGCCTTCCAGAACGCCTACCTTGAACTGGGAGGGCTGGGCGAGAGAGTGCTGGGTGAGGAGGCCGGGGAGGTGGGGATAGGGAGGGGGGTTGTGAGTGAGAGTGCCCCAGAGAGGCAAAGAAAGCACATGATGAATGAATGCGGATCTCTCGAATGGAGTGCGATGACTATTGTGAGAATTTAGAAACTCACAGCAACTTCTGACACCACGTTGCACTATTGCTCAGGGAAATTGTGGCAGAAATTGCCAGCATTTGCTCCTTTGTTCCATGCCTGGAACAGAAATCATTCCACTGGGTACAACCAGCGTTCGCTGTACTTGTTTTCAAACTGAAACAATAAGTCATTGATTACCGTATTTTTCGCTCTATAAGACGCACCAGACCATAAGACGCACCTAGTTTTTGGAGGAGGAAAACAAGAAAAAAAATATTCTGAATCCCAGAAGCCAGAACAGCAAGAGGGATCTGGCTTCTGGGATAGCCTCTTGCTGTCCTGGCTTATGGAATAGCCGTGCGCAGCCTCTCCCAGGCAGTGGGAAGACTCCCCTTGCCCTCAAGAGGCTGCGTGCGGCTAAGCCAGAAGCCAGGACAGCAAGCGGGATCGCTGCGCAGCCATCCCTCTTGCTGTCCTGGCTTATGGAGTAGCCGCGCAAAGCCTCTTCCGGGCAGGGGGAGGAAGGCTCCCCCAAGAGCCGCGCTCCCTTTAAAGAGCCGCGTGGAGCATGTGTGCGGCTCTTGGGGGCTTTTCCCCAAGGAGGGAGAAGGGCAGCCGTTCTCCCTCTTCGGGGAAAAGCTCCCAAGAGCCACACGCACGCTCCACGTGGCTCTTTAAAGGGAGCGCTGAGCAGAGCCTCCCGCCTGCATTCGCTCCATAAGATGCACACACATTTCCCCTTACTTTTTAGGAGGGGAAAAGTGCGTCTTATAGAGCGAAAAATACAGTATTTTCCCCTGCATTGCGTTTCATAGAATTGTAGTGTTGGTAATCCAGACCAGACCCCTGCAATGGAGGAATCACAGCTAAAGAATGCTGTATTGTTTTTCACACTCGATTGGAAGCCGCCCAGAGTGGCTGGGGAAACTCAGCCAGATGGGCGGCGTATAAATAATAAATTATTATTATTGTTATTATTGTTGTTATTATTATTATTATTATTATTATTATTATTACTAAAGAAGGATCTGTGACAGGTGGCTGTCCAGCCTCTGTTTAGCCCGTTCCGCTGTTGAACAGCTCTTGCCATCAGGGAGTTATTCCTTTGAACTCAAACAAAGCGCGCATAATAACACAACAATAACTTATTTAATTACATAAAAAACCCCCGCCACTGTCGACATCAAGACAGATAACATTGTTTTATTGCCCAAAGGCAAACTGCAACTCAGTGGAAACAGATGCAGAGGGGGAAGGGGCTATGAGGTGGGGTGGGCTGCTGGCAACGGAGCTTTCTCTGTGTTGGGGAGCAGAGGGGGTGAGTTCTTGGGGTCTCACTCTCCCTCCCTCCGTCTCCGCAATCCCACAGGTTTCTGCCATTACAACCTCCCCGAAGACCAGTTCCCCCGAGGCTTCAAGTTTGACGCGGACGAAGTCAACTTCCCCACCAGCAACCTCTGCTTTGTGGGGCTCATGTCCATGATTGACCCGCCTCGGGCCGCTGTGCCGGATGCCGTGGGGAAGTGCCGGAGCGCCGGGATTAAGGTCAGCCGTGCTGGGGAGATGGGCTCTGTCTTCTGCCCTCCCTCTCCCCACCCCATACGCCCCAGAGAAAGCAACTGGGAGACCAGAGGCGAATCCCCCACTTGGTTGTTGGCCACCACTGCCTCTTGTGACAGAATCATAGAATCATAGAATCATAGAGTTGGAAGAGACCACAAGGGCCATCGAGTCCAACCCCCTGCCAAGCAGGAAACACCATCAGAGCACTCCTGACATATGGTTGTCAAGCCTCTGCTTAAAGACCTCCAAAGAAGGAGACTCCACCACACTCCTTGGCAGCAAATTCCACTGTCGAACAGCTCTTACTGTCAGGAAGTTCTTCCTAATGTTTAGGTGGAATCTTCTTTCTTGTAGTTTGGATCCATTGCTCCGTGTCCGCTTCTCTGGAGCAGCAGAAAACAACCTTTCTCCCTCCTCTAGAAGGAGGACTCGACTTTAGAGTTACCAGACGGATTTGCAAATCTGTCCCTGGACAAATGCCGTCCCTGGAATGTCCCCAGATTTGCAAATCTGTCCCCGGGAAACATGGCAGTGGAAGTCTCAGCAGCCCAGAGCCAGCCTGGTAGCACACTTGGCTCTGGCTGGCTTCAGGAGCTGCTCACTGCTGTGGCACTCATCATTTTTCCTCTCTGGAAGTCCCCATATGATGTGTCTTGTGCGCAACACATCATATGGGGACTTCTGGAGCGGAAAAATGGCGGGCGCCACAGCCACGACCAGCTCCTGAAGCCAGCCAGAGCCTACTGTGCTACCAACAGCCAACTGGCCACAACTCCTGAGTCTCCCCTGATCTGTCAAAAGAAAGGGGGAAGGGGGGAAAATGGGGGAGGCTTGGGAGTCACGGGCGGGCAGCGCGCCATTGCCCAGGAGGGGCGCAAGGCATGCGGTTTCTCTGCTGGGCAAGGTGCAAAGCCCTTCTTTCGCACCCTGTGAGACATAAATGCACATGGATTTATATTCAGATGCTAGGATAGAGATGATAAGGAAAACAGGAAGACACAATGAGAGTAAAGGAGGTTCTGTGGGACTGGTGGAAGTCAATGTCTTGTTGTTGTTTTAGTGTTTACAGTATTAACTTGTAAGATACGGATTTGTTGTTGTTTTGTTTTTTTAGTTGTTGTTCATTTCTTTAGTTTTCGAATGTTGGTTTTGGTGTGGTGTATTGTTATTTTTCAATATTTTTCGTGTTGTTGTTGTGTGGAAAATACTAATAAAATTTATTTATTTTTTAAAAAACCTGGGCAATGGCGCGCCAACTGCCCGTGACTTCCAAGCCTCCCCCAATCTCCTGCCCCCTTCCCCCTTTGTTTTGACTGATCAGGGGAGGCTCGGGAGTTGCGGCCGGCCGGCCATTGACCAGTTTTTTTATATATACAATATGCATGTGTGCTTGGGCCTGGGGTCTTTTGCCTCACCATCTCCACTACTGACTCCCTGTTGCTACTCAGCTTCCAAAAAAAAAAAAAAAGTGTCCCCGGATTCATTGAAGAAAATCTGGTAACCATACACTTTATCTCTCCTACCTTGCAACCTTTGGTTTCACTGGATGAGGGTTTTGTCCTGACTGCTGCCTCTGCCCCTGTTTCCCCAGGTGATTATGGTGACCGGCGACCACCCCATCACCGCCAAGGCCATTGCCAAGGGGGTGGGCATCATCTCTGAGGGGAACGAGACGGTGGAGGACATCGCTGACCGCCTCAACATCCCCGTCAACCAGGTCAACCCCAGGTAGGCCAGCGCTTCCGTCCCTGGGCAGCCCCCGCTTCCCCTCCTGGCCTCCTCCAGCCAGGTATCTCATGGGCTTCCTTCGCCAATGTGGAGAGCCAGTGTGGTGTAGTGGTTAAGAGCGGTGGACTCGTAATCTGGGGAACCGGGTTCGCTTCCCTGCTCCTCCACATGCAGCTGCTGGGTGACCTTGGGCCAGTCACACTTCTCTGAAGTCTCTCAGCCCCACTCACCTCACAGAGTGTTTGTTGTGGGGGAGGAAGGGAAAGGAGAATGTTAGCCCCTTTGAGACTCCTTAAAGGGAGTGAAAGGCGGGATATCAAATCCAAACTCCTCCTCCTCCTCCTCCTCCTCTTCTTCTTCTTCTTCTTCTTCTTCTTCTTCTTCTTCTTCTTCCTCCTCCTCCTCCTCCTCCTCCTCCCTGGCGCCCTCTCCTCGCAGGGAAGCCAAGGCTTGTGTGGTCCACGGATCGGACCTCAAAGACATGACCTCTGAGCAGCTGGACGAGATCCTCAAGAACCACACGGAGATCGTCTTTGCCCGCACCTCCCCACAGCAGAAGCTCATCATCGTGGAAGGTTGCCAGAGGCAGGTGAGGCAGATGCTCTTGTTTTCGTTTTCTGCCAGGTACGCAATAATTTTATTTTACTCTTTACCAATGCTATTTGCCAATTTGCAAGGGGAACCCGCTCTGAGTCCTTCCAGGACCTTGCTGTTACGAGCCTGGATACCTGGATACTAGTAGCAGAGAACTCGTGGCAGATTTCAGCTTCAAGTGAATATTCTCTCCTGTGAAAAGATTGAGGAAAGCCGGACATTTAGAGACATTTTCCCTAGGAGTTGCTTTGTATGACCCTGCAAGGATCTTCGGAGGCCTTTCCCCATGTGCCTCCTATACGAGAGGTCAGGAGAGTGGCAACATGAGACGGGGCCTTTTCTGTGGTGGCTCCCCGTTTGTGGAATGCTCTCTCAGTGAGACTTGCTTGGCGCCTTCACCACATATCTTTAGGTGCCTGGCCATTGGCTGATTAAACAATCATTGGCCTTTTAAATGCATTTGTGGAAGAAGGGTTATTGATTTGTTTCTGTTTTATTAGGTATTTTGTGGTCTCATTTTGTATTTTCATTTTGTGAACTGCCCAGTGATCTTCAATTGAAGGGTGCATACAAATTTTAATAATAATAATAATAATAATAATAATAATAATAATAATAATAATAATAATACAGTCATACCTCGGGTTACAGACGCTTCAGGTTACGTTTTTTCGGGTTACAGACCCACCAAAATCCGGAAGTACTGGAACAGGTTACTTCCGGGTTTCGGCAGTTGCACATGCACAGAAGTGCCGTATCACAACCCGCATGTTCACAGATGCACTGCTGCAGGTTGCGAACGTGCATCCCTCATGGATCACGTTAGCAACCCGAGCGTCTACTGTAATAATAATAATAGCAACAATAATAATAATACTAATAATATTTGGGTCATTTATGCTTCCTGAGCCACTTTCCCCCATGTCTACCCCATACATCAGACACTGTAGATCCTGTCATTCAGCACCTTCTCCCAACGTCTGGCGCTGACCCCCTTTCCCCCCTCCTGTTCTTCAGGGGGCCATCGTGGCAGTGACCGGGGACGGGGTGAACGACTCGCCCGCCTTGAAGAAGGCCGACATTGGCATCGCCATGGGAATCGCTGGCTCCGACGTCTCCAAGCAGGCTGCGGACATGATCCTCCTGGACGACAACTTCGCCTCCATCGTTACAGGGGTGGAGGAAGGTGGGTGGAAGGGGCACCCAGTCAAGCCAGGAGGCCCTGCTGCCCCTCCTTCGCCCGTCCCTCTCACCCCCTCGCCCCATATGTGCCCACCCAACTGATTTATCAGTTTTGTTTAGGCATGTAGAATTCCTGTTGTATGTTTTCATTCATTTTTAGTTTATTGATGATTTTGTCTTTTGAAGGTTTTAAAGAGCTGCTTTTACTGGTGATTTTATTACAATATGATACAATACAATACAATAATCTTTATTGTCATTGTCCCATACAGAACAACAAAATTGAAAAAATCTACATCAGACATTCTAAAACCAACAAACCTGCTATCCCAGCCTGGTTAGCCCCCTAAAAACTCTGATGCCCCATAATTAAATACAATATACTCCCACAGAGACTCCTTACACTGTGATTAAAACCAAAATCACAAAATCACAGATAGAAACTGTTTCTCAGGCAGCTAGTCCTGGTCTTTATAACCCTGGACCTTCTTCCAGAAGGCAGAAGCTGAAAGAGATCATTTCCGGGGGGTGCGCACTATCCTGCGCTATCTCTGCAGCTTTCTTATGGCACCTGGAAGCGTAGATTTGATCCAAGGTGGGAGGAGTGCACCCAATTATTCTCTCCGCAGTCTTTACAACCCTGGATAGCATTGTTTTTCCCCTGGCCGTGCAGCTCCCAAACCACATATTATCTTTGTAAACCACTTTGACGGTGGTTTGTTTGTTTTTACAATTAAGAGTTGTATAAATTTTATGAAACAAACAAACGACCTGCACCTCCACCCTCTGCCTGGCAGGTCGCCTGATCTTTGACAACCTGAAGAAGTCCATTGCCTACACCCTGACCAGCAACATTCCAGAGATCACCCCTTTCCTGCTCTTCATCATCGCCAACATCCCTCTTCCCCTGGGCACCGTCACCATCCTCTGCATCGACCTGGGCACCGACATGGTGAGCGTCACCAGGGCCCAGGGAGGGGGGCAGCAGACAAAGAAGGTTGCATTTAAACAAAATCTTGTGATCCATTGGCCAATGAAAGGCGGTACAGTTCTATGCATAATCTGAATCGGTGGTTCCCAGAGTGGGCAGCATATATTTCATAGTAGCTCATTCCAGTCGCCCACGAAACTCTGAAATCGAACCCTAGAGCTTGGAGAGGTTCCCGGGGGGAGGAGGCAAGATCCTGCTCAAATGCCAACCCTGAAAAACCCTGTGTGGTCAAGAGCACCTCTCCCACATGTGGGATGTCAAACACAAGAGCAGTCAAGTGCAACCTTCCTAGAGGGAACATGTTTACACATGGGGAGGAATGTTTGTCCAGCCAGCAGGTCAACTTCCTGTTTCCTTCTGGGCTGGGACAGACTTCCTCTGCATGTGACTAGAGGTGGGCGTGGCCTCACCTGTGCAGGTAACAACAAAAGCACAGGGCAGGGCAGCCATCTCTCTCTCTTTGACTACATGCATTGAAGAAGCAACATCTGCTTAGCCAAAGATGCTCTCTTGGCGGACAAAGGGACTGTCTCCTTATGAGATAGTTTCCAGGTGTGTGTAACTTTTCTAAGCTAAGTCTGCCTTCTGGGATCCAATTGTGAACAGAATGTGAGTGAGTAAACTCTTTTTATACTTTTATAGAAGACTGTGTCGTGTCTTATCTTTCATGAGGGAATAAGGGAAAAATACCAGAGCAGTTCTTATAGAGGCTTTAGCGAGCCTGAGCAAATGCATCCGCTGTGAGTTTAAAAAGGGGGAATGTTACTCTGCTAAATTGTGAGCTTGTTAATACAAGTTGGAAAGGCTATAATTAAACAATATATCCTCTCCTGCATCCCTGAACATTCCCACATATATTTCATAGTAGCTCATTTCAGTCATCCACGAAACTCTGAAATCGAACCCTAGAGCGTGCAGAGGTTCGGGTGGGGGGCAAGATCCTGCTCAAATGCCGACCCTGGAAAAAAACCCTGTGTGGGTTTTCAGTCAAGAGCACCTCTCCCACAAACATGGGGATCACCCCCAAAATATTAACGGTGGGGAAATGGAGCTGGACCCCCTCCACAGCCTTATTTCTGTTCCCGGTTCTTGCTGCCCCACTGAAATTCGCACCCCGCTGCTCCTTCTCCCTTAGGTGCCGGCCATCTCCCTGGCATACGAGGCTGCGGAGAGCGACATCATGAAGAGGCAGCCGAGGAACCCCAGGACGGACAAGCTGGTGAACGAGCGTCTCATCAGCATGGCCTACGGGCAGATTGGTGAGGGGCTAGCACAAAGCACCCAGTTTCCAGCCCACAGATTGGGGAATAAGAAGGGGAGCGCTGTAGATGCCACTGTGGTTAGAGTATAGGACTAGCACGGGGGAGAGACCTGGGTTCGAATCCCCACTCGGCCCTGAAGTTTCCTGGGTGTGAACTTGGCCTGTCACTGCCTCTCTCAGCCTAGCCTACCTCACAAGGTTGTTGTTGTTGTTGTTGTTGGGACTAAATGGGGGGGGGAGAGAACCACACACGTCACCTTGAGGTATTTTGAGGGGAAAGGGTGAGGTATATATGTCAAAATCAGTGATTCCCAATTTGCTAAGCATTGCAGACCCCCTGTTTTTTAAAAGCCAAGCCATGGATGCCATACTTTTTTGGGGGGGGATTGATATCTCTGTGGTAGCCACAGACCACCCCGCTGGGGTCTGCAGATCACCAGTTTGGAACCACTGTCCTAAATCAATATTGCAGATGGGGCACTACAGAGACAGACACAGCTGCCAGTAACACAACAACCTGATGTCATAAAAAGCATAATATCACTAGAACGTAACACTATGACCAAGCTGTTAATTTAGGCATCTATCAGCATTTAAGCAAAATAGGGTTGGTCGAGAAAAAAAGAGTCCAGCAACTGCACACCCGAAAGGAGCCCCAAAGCTGAATACCTTTGCAGGCAGTGATTTAGCTGATTCCTACATTGCAGAGGGGGTTGGACTAGATGACTCTGGGAGTCCCTTCCAAATCTATAGTTCTGTGATTCTATGAACTTCCACACATACACAACCCACCACACACACACACACACACACACACACAAAATTTTATGCCTAGCCAAAATCTTGTCCATCTCTTTCGAGTTCCTTATTAACTTGCATTCTCTTAATGATTTGTTTTTATATTTTTCTTGCGAACTCCTTACTCAGGGTTCCCAGGGCTTGCTATGGGGAGGCAGGTGCAAACAACGCCCCCCCCCCACCCAACTGCCCACCCCATGGCAAACCCAGACAGCCTCTCTCTCCTGCTGCCTCCGTCTTCCCCTTCTGCAGAATCTGCCCAGAAGGGCAGGCCAGCCATTGAGGTCTCCTTGCGCTTCCTGCTGGCAGAGCTTTGCTCAGGTGCCCCTCAGGAGGAATGACTCTCTCCTCTCCCCCCAGGTATGATCCAGGCCCTTGGGGGCTTCTTCACTTATTTTGTCATCCTGGCCGAAAATGGCTTCCTCCCCTCCACCTTGCTGGGCATCCGCTTGGACTGGGACGACCGCTCCAAAAACGACCTGGAAGACAGCTATGGGCAGGAGTGGGTGAGTGGGGAGCCCTTGTTGGGGGGGCCTCTGCATGGAGATGCAACATCATCCCTCTTCCTCATTTTTAAGATTTTTTTTCTTTTAATACAGCAGCATTTGCATCGTAGTTTGGAGGTTCCAGGCCCTAAGGAAGTCAGATTCTCCTCCACCAGGGCCTTCTCAGTGATGGCCCCGACCTGGTGGAATGCTCTGTCCCAGGAGACCAGGGCCCTTCAGGGTTTAACCTCCTTCCACAGGGCCTGTAAGACAGAGCTGTTCCGCCTGGCTTTCAATTTGAACTTAGCCTGATCTTTTATTCCCCTTCCTTCCCTCCCCCTCCCCTTTTCATGAAGATTCCCCGCTCTGGGATCCCACAGCTAATTCTCCTCTGGTCTCCTCGCTGGCCCAAATAGGACTAATTTAGCCAGCTAGCCCTGGGGAATCATCTAATGTTTATTGGATGTATTTCCCCCCTAAATTGATTTTTGAATCCTGAATTTAGTGTTATTCACGTTTTAAACTGTATTTTATGCTGGTTTTTTGTTGCATCAATTAAGTGTTTTAAATTTGTTGTTAGCCACCCTGAGCCCAGTTTTCTGAACCAGGAAACACAGGGTATAAATAAATAAATTATTATTATTATTATTATTATTATTATTATTATTATTATTATTATTATTATTACCACCAGGCAGGTGCCTTCCCTCTACTCTTCTTGTCACCTGCTAGAAATATTTTTGTTTAAGCCTGTCCAGATGTACAGAAAGTTGATGGCGTGTTTTAATCTGTTTTTAGTCTGTTGTTATTTTTAACTTTTTGAAAGTTTTAAATCACAGTTGTTACTTTTTTATTGTGATGGTTTTATTGCTTTATCCTCTTTGGCGACAGAGTCGGGTGGCCCCCCATCGGGTATTTTGGAGCTGTGCCTCCCGCATTGCAGGGGGAGTTTGAACCAGGTGATCCCACAGTTCTGTGGTTCTCTCTCTCTCCGCAGACCTACGAGCAGCGGAAGGTGGTGGAGTTCACCTGCCACACGGCCTTCTTCGCCAGCATCGTGGTGGTGCAGTGGGCCGACCTGATCATCTGCAAGACCAGGAGGAACTCGGTCTTCCAGCAAGGCATGAAGTAAGTCTCGGCTCCACCCAAAAATAGATGCGCCTCTGAACTTGGAGGCTCCATGTACCTCTCCTGGGATGTGGGTGGCGCTGGGGTCTAAACCACTGAGCCTCTTGGGCTTCCCGATCAGAAAGTCAGCAGTTCGAATCCCCGCGACGGGGTGGGCTCCCTCGGCCAATAAAGCGAGATGAGTGCCGCAACCCCAGAGTCACCCTTGACTGGACATAACCATCCAGGGATCCTTTAGATAAAGGTAAAGGGACCCCTGACCGTTAGGTCCAGTCGTGGCTGACTCTGGAGTTTCTGTGCTCATCTTGCTCTATTGGCCGAGGGAGCCGGCGTCCAGCTTCCGGGTCATGTGGCCAGCAGGACTAAGTCACTCTTGGCGAACCAGAGCAGCGCACGGAAACGCCGTTTACCTTCCCGCCGGAGCGGGACCTATTTATCTACTTGCACTTTGACGTGCTTTCGAACTTCTAGTTTGGCAGGAGCAGGGAGCGAGCAGCGGGAGCTCACCCTGTCACGGGGATTCGAACCACCGACCTTCTGATCGGCAAGCCCTAGGCTCTGTGGTTTAACCCACAGCGCCACTTGTGTCCCGTACCTTTCCTTTTTTTACCCTGGTTCATAGTCAACTAATCCCTGATCATAGAAACCTAGAACTGTGAAGTTGTAAGGGACCCCCAACGGTTATCCAGTCCACCCCCCCTGCAATGCAGGACTCGCAGCTAAAGCACTCCTAGCAGGTGCCCATCCATCAGAATATAGGAAACTGCCTTATCCCGCATCACACCCTTGTTATACATCCAGTGGCGTAGCGTTGGTTGTCAGCACCCGGGGAAAGGCAAGTAATTTGCAACCCCTAACCCGTGGTAGGGGCAGAGAGCTGCGAGTGCGAGCGAGCGCCCCCCAGATGTTGCGCCTGGTGCGGCCGGCCCCCCTGCACCCCCACGCTATGCCACTGTATACATCGAGCTCAGAATGGTCTGCACTGACTGGCAGCAGCCAAAGAAGGTCTTTGGGGCTTCAGGCAGCTTCCTCGTTGTCCCTACACGATGTGAGCAGGAGCAAGCTGGAGGGCGGAGCAGGCCCCTGGTGGTCCTCAGTCCTCCTGAGCTCCTTCCTTGTGATCCCCACCCCACCCTCCTCTCTTTTTTTCCCTCCAGGAACAAGATCCTGATCTTCGGCCTCCTGGAAGAGACAGCCTTGGCCGCTTTCCTCTCCTACTGCCCTGGGATGGGGGTGGCTTTGCGCATGTACCCACTCAAGTAAGACCCCTGTCCAGACCTGGTGAGGTTGGATCAGTGGGTGAGGGGGGGGCTTTGTCTCTGCCCCTTACCCCTCTCTAGAGCAGAGCTCAGGCTTGTCATTTATTTATTTATTTATTTATTTATTTATTTATTTATTTATTTATTTGCACAAATATTTGTATACCGCTGCGTCATCAAAAAATGCCTCCAAGTGGTTTAAAATGCAAAACCACACAATAAAAGCCATTTTTTAAAAAAATTAACAACAGACATCAATGAACCATCGTGGGAAGATGTCTTCTTAAGCACCTGCAGAATAGAAAATGTTTTCAGCCGGCATTTAAGATGTTAAAGTCGGTAGGCGTGCCTGCTTAATCTCTAGTGGTAGGGAGTTCCACAGGGCCAGGCTGATGACAGCACTAAAAGGCCCATTGCCCCTCGTTGCCAAATGAGCCTCACCACAAAAAAATGTTTGGGAGAAATTTGCGCAGAAGTGGTAACGAATTCGTGTGGAAAATTCACAGACTGATGTGGAGGGAGCTGAATTTTAAGAAAGTGAGAGGCTTTGGAAACTGGCAGATTTGCCTGTCTCCCGTCCTGCACTGCGCTCAGGAGCTAAATCCTCAGCTGGGTCCACTTCTGCCCACTAATCCCTTTAAGAGCCCAGTTCTTGAGGTGGCCCCATCTGCCAAGATCTGGCAAGGCCTCAGCGCCAGGAGGGGCAGCTTGGCAGCTGCTGATCAGAGAAAGCAGAGAGAAAAGCTCCTCTCCGTCTCTCGTGATAACACTGGAACTCACAGGCGCCCATGGAAGCTGAAGGATGGAAGTCCCAGGGCAGAGAAAAGAAAGTCCTTCTCCATCTCGTGTGCGGTGGAACTGTGGAACTCCCTCTCGCAGGAGATAATAATAATAATAATAATAATAATAATAATAATAATTTTTATTTATACCCCACCCTCCCCGGCCAGAGCTGGGCTCAGGGCGGCTAACACCAATAAAATAAAATCACAGTAAAAACATAATAGGGGGGAACGAGAGGGAGGAGTGGAAACCCAATTTAAAATACAGGTTAAAATGCAATTTAAAATGCAGCCTCATTTTAAAAGTCAAAAACCATAAGGGGAGGGCAAGCATAAGGGTCAGACTGAGTCCAAACCAAAGACCAGGCGGAACAGCTCTGACTTGCAGGCCCAGCGGAAAGATGTCAAGTCCCGCAGGGCCCTGGTCTCTTGGTACAGAGCGTTCCACCAAGTTGGGGCCAGTACTGAAAAGGCCCTGGCTCTGGTTGAGACCAATCTAAGCACCTTGCAACATGGGACCTCCAAAGTGTTGTCATTTGTGGACCTTAAGGTCCTCTGCGGGGCAGACCAGGAGAGGCGGTCCCGTAGGTACGTGGGTCCTAGGCTGAAATAGTGATGGCACCGAAAGAGGATTAGGGGCTGGGGGAGGTGGGGGAGGAAGGCTGCCTGAGCCGCTTCAATATTTTTTCAAAAAATGATTAAAAAATGGGATATGATTCATAACGAATTGAAAAAAACACGTTTAAATATACCTTCCCTCAAAAAACCGCAAGACGTTTTGCTGGGGTTGATAGGAGATGAAATAAGAAAAGCAGATCAGAGACTATTTATGAATGCTACGACTGCCGCCAGAATCTTAGTAGCCCCAAAATGGAAAACACTATTTTAAATACCAACACTAATGGAGGGGCAGACAAAAATGGTTGAATATGTAGAATTAGCAAAACTGACCCACCGGATCCGTAACCAAGAGGAAACAAAGTTCAAAAATAAATGGAGTAAATTCGTTGAGTATATAGGTAATAACTGTAGAAGTTTAAAGATGGTAGTAGGATTAAAATAAATTTTGTGATGTGTATAGGATGCTACTAAGATCCTGCGATAAAAGAGAAAATTCAGTATGAAAGCCTGTTGGAGGGAGGGAGGGAAGTCTGTGCGCGATAGAGCATTTAGAAAATAAGTAGACATATGATTGTTGAATTTTAGAGTATTTATTTTGTTTGTGTTTGTTAAAGAAAACTCAATAAAAAGCATTTGGAAGAAAAAAACCAAAGCGCTTCTCTCCCTCCCTTTCTCCTCTCCAGGGTGACCTGGTGGTTCTGCGCTTTCCCGTACAGCCTCCTCATTTTCATCTACGACGAAGTCAGGAAGCTCCTCATACGCCGCTACCCTGGCGGTGAGTGTCGTCCTGGACCCCCCCACCCACCCACCCAAAAAAAGGATGTGCAGGGCGTCCCTCGCAGACCACCCAGTCGGCCGCCACGAGAACAGGGGGCCGGACTAGATGGGTCCCCTTCTTAGGCTCCGATGGACAAATGGCGGGAGGATAAATCGACCGGTGGCTACTAGTCACAATGGCTACGTCCTCCGTTCTCTGTCGGAGGCAGGGCACCTCTGAATGCCAGGGAACGCTCATGTGCTGGTCCCATGGGTTACCCGAGAGGCGAGGTCCAAGTCCAGTCCATGGTCAAAGGTGCAACATGGAGGCACTCCGTAGTAGCTGAAGCTGGGTGCAGGACAGGGAGTTGGGTGAAGTCAGGAACAGGCATGCAAGTGTTGTAAACAAAAATTGCCCTTTTCCCTTATGGGGTATCCAAGAGCCCATATAGAGTCCTTACATAGGTTCCCTATTGGTAGGAGAGAATAACAGAGGCCAAGCAGAGAATATTGAGAAGCAAAGCGGCTAGTAAGCCTGGTCTTTATTGATCTGATGCAACAGGGTTCTCCCCTCACCCGCAGGAGAGGAGGAGGACCCAGAAAAAATGGCATGCAAGGCCTTATAAAGACTTTTGAAATTCCCATCCTGTAGATCAAGACCACCCCCAGAAACATCATACATATATCACAGAAGGGGTGTAACCTAGGACCACCCCTCAGATACATCACAGAAAAGGCGGTCTAAAACAGAAATTTGAATATTGTTTTTCTCCTGTTGTTGTTTATCTCCTGTCTGGCAGGTTACTTGATTGGATTTCCTGGGGAGCCTGGACAGTCTTTTGTAATGATGAATACCGTATTTTTTGCACCATAACACTCACTTTTTTCCTCCTAGAAAGTAAGGGGAAATGTCTGTGCATGTTATGGAGGGAATGCCTACGGGTGGCATGCCTACGGATTTTCCTCCTCTAAAAACTACGTGTGTGTTATGGTCGGGTGCGTGTTATAGAGCGAAAAATACGGTACTTAGTTCCTGGCCATGTTACAGGCTCACACCCTATTCAAACACAGACATACCCTTAAGACAGGATTTGTGAAGGAAAAGACAATGGGGAGGCTTTTCCATTTTGACCTTGCAGAGAAAAGATTTGGTCAGTTTAGGAATCAAAATGGTTCCAGGTTGGCCTTCCTGTGCTGATCTATGTATGTGCTTGGTTGGTACACTTATGAACATTGCCATATATCTAAGGCCATAAAATTCCTATCACACAAGCAGGGAGCCAGGGCGGGCCAGGAGCTCCGGCAGGAAAGCAGGACAGGGTTCGAGCAAAAACTGGCAACCAACAACATTGCTCCCACAACTTGGGACTGGGGCTGGCCGGCTTTTATCTGCCCTGAGGCATAGGGCGGCCCCGGTCCACAGGTGACTCACCTCTCCTGGCCTGGAGGCGAGCCCTCCTCCTGCGGGAACTTAGTTCCCTCCGCCTCTCTGCCCTGAGCCTCTGCAGCTCAGGAGAGGCTGGAGGGTTCCCGGACCCAGAGGCAACCTCAGCCTCCCCTGACGGGGCTGAGAGTGGAGCACCTGCAGGCAATGGGTCCTCCATCACCTCAGGAGCCAGAGCAGACTCAGCTGGTGCCTGCACCTGAGGATCCGGCACAGGTGAGGACCCTTCAGGCTCAAGCCCCAGCCCCGGCTCAGCTGGTTCTGGAGGCGGGGAATCCTGTGAAGGCTGGGATCCCTCAGGTTCAGCCTCCGAGTCCGAATCCCAGGCCATCACACCTCAAGTTGGCTTGATCCAGCGGCCAAGCACTCCCTAGAGAGGGCTCCTGTGGCAGCAGAACCTCCATGCCCAGTGGCAGTCTGCCCTGAAAATCAAGATAATGGGGGGACACAAATGGAGAGGTGCCATTGCCCTCGGGTCCTGCCGGTGGGTTTCCCGCTGGCTGGTCTCTGTGGGAACAGGAGTCTCCCTTGGGCCTGATCCAGTGGCTCTTCGGACGTTCCTATGGAGCCTCCAGCTCCAGAGGCAGTCTATCTTGATTCCTAGGTTCTCAGGGGCTTTTTGGCCACTGTGGCCCAGGGCTGTGGGGCAAAGGGGTCTCCTTTGGCCTGATCCAGCCGCTGCAACACCCTCCTCATGTTCTCATGCAAGTGTATCTTTTCCCAACTCAACCGTCAGACGGTTTCATGTTTAATAGGTTATTGTATTTTAATATTCTGTTGGAAGCCGCCCAGAGTGGCTGGGGAAACCCAGCCAGATGGGCGGGGTATAAATAAATTATTATTATTATTATTATTATTATTATTATTATTATTATTATTACTACTACTACACACACACTAACTCTTCTCTCTCTCTCTCTCTCCTCCCTCTTCCTTTCCCAGGCTGGGTGGAAAAGGAGACCTACTACTAAAGGCAGCAAGCCACCCCGCCCCCCTTACAACCTGTAGTCGAAAGCCAGACCATGTAGTTGTAAAGAGGCAATAAAAGTTAATTTAACCTGTTCTCCAGACCTCGCTGTCCCTTCGGAAGAGGAGACCCTCTTGGGGCCAGGAAAAGCAGGGAGTCTCACACCTCTTGCATGGTTGGAAGTGGGGGCTGCGGGGGCAAATCAAAATAATCTGGCGGGTGTCGTGTTTGGGGCCACAGCGAGGGGCCTGTTGAAACCCAGTGGGTGGGGAGCTCATCGAATCGTAGAGTTGCAAGGGGCCCCCAAAGGTCATCTATCCCAACCCCATGCAATGCAGGAATCACAGCTCCTGATTCCGTTCCCTGGGCAGGCTAGCTATATCCCAGGTGAACGCAGAGCAGTGTGCGCCTTCGCCCCCCCCCCCCGCCCTGCCTGCCAGCTGCCGTTGGCCCCAGACCCGTTCCTAACTGCCCCAGGTGCTAATGGCACAGAAAGGGGATCTGGGCAGCCGGTGTAAAAATAAGACTCTGGATCAGCAGAAAGGGCCGAAATAGTGTCAGAGCTCACTTAAGCTGCAGGGCCCCGGGGCGGCATTTGTGGCTGATTAAAATAACAGCAGCTGTCCCCGGCCAAGTGCTGCAGCGAGGGTTAAAAATAGTCCCAGCCGAGGCATCACTGGCCTTAAGGGCCACTGCAGGATGGAACGGAGGAGGAGGCAGCAGCAGCAGCAGTGGCCCTGGACAGGTCCAGGCGTCTGGGCTGCACTCCGCATGGTTCCCTTAAGACATTGTGCGGGGATGGACTGGATGAGCTTTGGGTGCCCTTCACACGCCACCACTGTGTGATTCCAAGGAAGAGGAAAGCCTCTCCTTACACAGGGCTGGAGCTCCGTGGCTGAGCAGGTGCAGTTTCTGAAACCCTCAAGAGCCACCTGCCAGTCAGTGCAGACAACATGTAGGTAGGTGGACTTGATAAGGCAGCTCCCTAAAACCTTTTCCTTGCGGCAACAGGGGAGGTGTAGCTGTGACACCCCCAAAAGACAAAGGTCCTCTGTTGGCACGTGTGTGTGTTTGTCTCCTTCTGTTCCAAGGTACGTGCGCCCCCACCCTGCGCAGAAACAGTTAGAATCCTGATAATGAGGTACAGAGGGGGGCTGCATCATTTGCAGGGCTGCAAACGGAATTGTTATTTATTACGTTCCTTTCCTGCATATCTCTGGGGAAAGCATTCCGCAATCAGGGAGCCACCATTGAAAAGGCCCACCTTCATCCTGCAAACCCTCTGGGCCTGTTTGGAGAACTAAGTAAGGCCCGGGACCTGCCCCCCCCCCCCTCAAAAGGTGGCAATGATCAGGAGTCCAACCAAAGTGTTTCAGCACAGCTGCTGGAAACTGGCAAATGGCCCCAGATACAATCGACAACAATGAGGCCTAGCATTAGAGAGGTGAAAGGTACCTAAAGGGCATCTAGCCCTGGAATGCAGGAGTCACAGTTTACCAGCTCTCGAACGCAGGCCTTTGTCTGCTAAGACTGAAATGCGTCTGCTGCCTTCAAAACAGCAGGAGAAGGAATTGCAGGAGCCAGGGGCCTGAAATGCAAAACACCGCTTATTCCACACAAGCCAAGAGCCCCTCGCCAAGGGGGCTATTCATCAGGAATGGCAGGTGGATATTGGCAAACACCAGTGCAGGGAAGAGTTCGTTCCCCAGGCTAATAACAAGACTAGCCAGGAGAAGTAGGGAATATGGCAGGCTAAGACAGGCAGGCGTGGCCAGAATCAGCAGTCAGCATGTGGTCAGGAACAAACTGTGACCGAACCTTGCAGGCAAACATCAGCATAAATATTTGTACCCCCCAATCTCCGAGTGGTGAGAGATTCCAGGGGTCCCGGCGCTTACTCAGGTTCAGTTTCCTTGGAATGAGGATCAGTGGAGACGGTGGTGTCTTCAGAATATCTGGTTTTCTTTACATACATATACCACCCAAGCGTAAGATGGAGGGGCTTTCTCCTCCAGGAAACACAACCCCACTTCTGACACCAGTGTTGCGTACCGGCCCAGTCTCTGAGCAGTGAGAAAGTTCAGGGGTTCCAGTTGCTTACCGGGTTCGGTTTCTTTGCAATGAGGGACAGTGCGTGGTGTCTTTAGGATATACGGTTTTATTTGCACATATATACAACCTGAGCACAGGGTGGAGAGCAGGGACGCGGACTTATAAAAAATATTGGGGGGGCCCGGGAAAGCTCATGAATAATAAATAAGCTCATGAATATGCAAATAAAGTGGCGCCGCCTCCTCGTGAGCGAATAGGGGAGAGCGTGCTGCGCCTATTAATCAGCTCCAAAGGAAATTGGGTGGAGCTTTTGCTCGGGAGGGAGGGCAGGAGGCATGCAGCCCGCCCCTCCCTGTGCATTTTGGGCTGGGGGAGGGGCGGCGATGGCGCTCTGCTGGAGGGGCGCCGGAGATTATTGGGGGGCGGAGCCCCCCCAAACGAATTTTTGAGGGGGCTCGGGCCCCCTCAAGCCCCATGGAGTCGGCGCCTATGGTGGAGAGGCTCACAGCATCAACGCCTGAAAAGATCTCGCTTCTCCATTAGTCTCTGCTTTGGAGCAAACAGGTCTTTGGGCCTCCAGCTTCCAGCCTGCTTTCTGCTCAACTCTCTCACACACAACACTGGCTACCATTCTCCTACTCAGCAGGTAGGTGAGTGGAGGGAGGGGGCAGGGGAAGAGAAAGACCCACCCATTTTGCCCGAGGGCACAGAACATTTTTGGTTATTCTAGTCTTGGTTGCCTAGACAAAAGGGGTGAACATTCCCAGCCGTAGGGGATTAACCTGGAGCCTTCTGCATGCCAAGCTCTCCTACTGAGATGTGGCCTTTACCCTAAGCATAAAGTAAGATTCTGGTCCTCATGGTTCTGAATTAAGGGTTGATTTAAACAGGCACTTCCGAAGCTGCCTTTCCCAGAGTTTGGTCCATCTAGCTCAGTCCTGCCTACCTACACTGGTTGGCAGCCGCGGCTCTGCACCTGGGACACTGTGTGGAAAAGCCACGCACCCCAGGCCCACCGACCCTCCAGTCCCCACCCCAAAAAACAAATCCGCTTTGGGTACAAGATGTGCTCTGCAGGCAGGGAGGGGCGGGGGGTGTCTTCCAGGAGCCCTGGAGGTGCTGACTGCGGTGCGCCCAAAATAGAGAGGGTGGCGGGTGGGCCTGCGAGGCAGAGCGAAGGTAGAGGGAGAGAGAAGGAGCCGGGCGGGAGGGGGCCTTGCTCAGGTTTCGTTTGCTGGAGGGGCTTAAATATCCACCTGGGGTTAAAAATAAGGATGCTCAGGCTCCTGCAGGTCATTTGAAACCAGCCTTGGCTCTGCAAGGTGTAGAGGGGGGCTCAGAGGGGGGGACAAATTTGGGGAGGGGGTTGGATGAAGGGCCTGGAGCCTGCCGGGTGGGTGAGTGGGTGGGTGGGTGCTGGACATTTCAGGGGGGGTATTATTTACTTTCTTTGGACACTCTCTGTGGCACAGACACCGCCTCCCCAAAGCCCCCCACCCCAGATTCCTGTCTCAGGAATTTATTGATTGATTGGTTTCATAATACTTATAAGCCTCTTCATTTTTTTTAAAAAAAAAACCAACAACCCTCAAAGCAATTCACAAAAAGAGTAAAACAGCGAAATTGTCAGTTTGAAAAACAGCTAAAAGCAAGTAATTTTAAAACATAAAAAATAAATATAAGTAAATTGCAAATTGCATTATACTTATATATAATGCAATTTGCAATTTACTTATATTTGCAATATGTGTGTATTAATGCTGAATTATTTTAACAATGGGGACGCGGGTGGCGCTGTGGGTAAAAGCCTCAGCGCCTAGGGCTTGCCGGTCGCATGGTCGACGGTTCAAATCCCTGCGGCGGGGTGCGCTCCTGTTGTTCGGTCCCAGCGCCTGCCAACCTAGCAGTTCGAAAGCACCCCCGGGTGCAAGTAGATAAATAGGGACCGCTTACTAGCGGGAAGGTAAACGGCGTTTCCGTGTGCAGCTCTGGCTTGCCAGAGCAGCGATGTCACGCTGGCCACATGACCCGGAAAGTGTCTCCGGACAGCGCTGGCCCCCGGCCTCTTGAGTGAGATGGGCGCACAACCCCAGAGTCTGGCAAGACTGGCCCGTACGGGCAGGGGTACCTTTACCTTACCTTATTTTAACAATAAAAACTTTATATATGTGTGTGTGTGTGTCTGTGTTAAAACACATGACTGGATATAGGCTTTGCCTAAACAAAAATGTTTTTGCCATGCACCGAAAAGAGTACAGCAAAGAAGGCGTCTGCCTGGTGTCCCCAGGCTGGGAGTTTCAGAGGGCCATGTAAAAAGATCAGTTTCAAAGAAGCGTGGAACGAGGATTGTGAGACCAGGTCTGCAGGTTGCAGGTGGCAAGGCGATCTTGCAGGTGGACCAGTCCCAAAGCAGTTGAGGGGTTTATAGACCTTGAACTTGGGTGGCAGTTCTGGGTAATGGGAATTGCCTGTCCAGCAAGCTGCCTGATCTTGCAAGAAAAGGGTTTGATGCACGAACACCTTGAACTTGGCCTGGCATGGCACATGCATCACACATATCGGGAGAAGGTCCTCACAACAACTATCTAAAACATGCAAAAAAAATTAAGGTGCAACAATAAGCTAAAAAAAACCAGGTTAAAGCACATGTCAGCATCTCTACATATCTAGGCAGGCTTGCCTAACAAGAATGTTTTTAGCAGAAGCAGTACAGTGTAGGCGCATGGATGATGTCAAGAGGCGGGCAGTTCCACAGTCTGGGTGCTGCCACACTAAAAGAGTGATTTCTTACGAATGCAGAACTAGTGCAGATCAAAGCAGTTGCGTGAGCCCAGATGAGCTAAGGCAATACTGCAAATTGCTCCCAAATTGTTAAGGGCTTTGCATCCTATTAGTAACCCCTTGAACACGTACCACGCAGGTCAGGATAAGGGCAGAGAGCCCCCCCCCCAGGTCAGACCCACATAGGGCTGGGGTAGCCAGTGGGGTGCCCTCCGGAAGGGGCTGGACTCCAACAACCCCACGAGTCAACGTGGCCATTGCCC